ATGGCACCTTTACCTTTTTTTCCAGGACTATAAAGGGTCCATTTTTCCTCTTTCTCCCTACCTCCCTTCCTTTCTTCCTTCCTTTCTTTTCCTTTTTTTTGAAGGAACCTCTTTTATTTTACCTTAATAGTGCCTTGGAAGGGAATAGAAGTAGATCTTTATGCTCATTCCAATGTGCTAAACCAAAACAGTTTTATAGTCTCAAAAATTTCGCTTCCAGCTAGACGGTGAAAAGAAATTGAAGCTTTTCTACTGAGCCATCATTTTACACAACAAACTCAAGTAGATTGACAAAGAAACATTAAGGCAAAAATAGTATACAAAGATTTGTAAAACATGGAAATTGAGGTGCCGGGGATTTAGTTCAGTGGTTTCGTTGCCTGCTGCGCAAGAACAAGGACTCGAGTTTGATCCCCGGCACAAGAAAAAAAAAAAGGAAACTGAAACAACTGTGAGATACAATTTCAAACTGACATGATTGGCAAAAATTAAGAAGTTTGTATCAGGTATGACAAACATGAAGTTATTAGAACTCATATCTTACTGGGGATACTGAAGATAGTGCAGCTTGAAAATACTTGAGAGCAATTTTATACTATCTGATAAGTGTGAAAATACTTTGAAAGCAATTTTACACTATCTGATAAGCTTTTTCTTTTCTTTTTTTTTCTTCTAGTGGCAGGGATCAAACTCGGGACTTTCCACATATTAGGCAAATGCTCTACTATTGGGCCACATCACCAGTCCACTGTAATAAGTTTTAAAATACAAGTACCTGATGACCATACAATTGATTGATATCTTCCTTTATGTCAACTACTAATATTAAAGTGAAATAACTGTTAAAACTCCACTTGTCTGTCAATGACATGAATGACTTATTTGGAGGACTGGGTAAAAATTTTGTGTGCGCATGTGTGCACACATGTGTGTATGTGTGTATGTGTGCGTATGTGTATGTGTATGTGTGCTGGAGATCAAAGCCAGGGCATCATGTAAGCTAGGTAAGTGCATGCTATGCTAGGTAAGTGGTCCACCCACTGAGTTATACCTCTATCCCTGGGTTTCAGCTTTTGAATATAAAAAAAAAAAACACTGTGAGAGGCCAAGGCAGGAGATTGCAAATTCAGTCCAGCCTGGGCAACATGGTGACTTAGCAAGACAGTATCTCAAAACAAGAAGAAACATATACACACATGGACACTTACACATATACACACATAATGGGTGGGCATAGCTTAGTGCAAAGGCTCTGGGTTCAATTCCTAAGATTGCCCCAAAATAATACATCATAATTTTTGTGCTATTCACAGTATGATGCCAACAGATACCATTCACTTTTAAACTTAACCTGCGTTATTAATATTTTCTCCATTACATTTTTGAGTCTAGAAAACCAACAATTAAGAACCCTGATTAGTATTATATGATGCATTCTATGGGGGTAAATGTTTCTACCATGGCTGATTTCAGGTTTCCAAGGTGACACCACTCAGGGAGGAGAGAAAAGAAGGCAGCAGCACAGAGCTGCGCAGCATGTCCACAGGCAGATGCAAAGGACCCAGACAGCCCTAGCACACAGGTAACATTCAAATAAAGTAACTAGAAAGGGCTGAGTTTTGAGCATATATTCCTGTGTTTCAATATTAAGTTTATACAATATAATTTATAAAAATGGTCATGACTCCATGAGGCCCAAGAGAGCAAAGGCATCAGGAAAGGCAAGAAATTAAAGCGGGGGGGGGATTAAAAAATAAAAGCGCCAACAACAGGAAAATTTATAAGTATGGTTGTGCTTGTTAAATGGCTTGGAAAATATCTGGAAATTTTGTTAGAATCCCTAGAAATTTGTCCTTGAGCTTTTTTTTTTTTTTCTTTTGTACTGGGGATCAAACTTGGGTCCTTGCGCTTGCACAGCAGGTGACAAAACCACTGGGCTAAATCCCCAGCCTGTCCTTGAGGTTTTGAAAATACCCTGAAAACACCCTAAGCACATCCCTGAATTTGTTCAGCTGTTTTCCTAATGATAGATGCATGGATACCTTCCAGTTTGGGGCTATTATCAATAGAAGTGCTATGAATATTCTGTACAAGTCTTTGCGTAGATGAAAGATTTTATTTCTCTGTAGTACAATTTACAGGGTGGTAGGACAGATACATGTTTAGTTTTATAAGAAATGACCAGGCCTTCTTCTAAAGTGATTACACCATTTTGCACTCCCATTACAAATATATGAGATTTTTATTTTGAATTTAATTTTAAAACTGGTAATACATTCACATGGTTCAAAATTTAAAGAAAACAAACATGAAAATTATCTTTTTCAATCCTCTGTTTTATCTGCCCAGATCCTCCTCTACCCTAGCTTCACCACAAGTAATCATTGCTTTTAGTTTTTGGATAGTTTTTCAATATTTTTGTAAATATCACAATACTCTCTAAATGCAAGTAAATAAAACTATTTTTTATTTCTACTTTTAAAAAAGATAATATTCTTTAATGTAGTCTTATCTTTTGGGGTTTTTTTCCATTCCATTGAATGGTCTACCTTGTAGACAATTCCATTTTGGTACATAGAAGGGTTCTTCGTTTCTTTTTTCTTTGTTTTTTTTTGTTACAGAGTATTAAAAAACCAGAGTTTATTCAATCATTTCCCTATTGATGGACACCAGGGTTGTTTCCAGCATTTTGCTACTATTGTATAAACAATCCTGCAATGAATAAATGTGAATTCATTTCATTCCACACATCCTCATCTAATTTCTGCTGAAAGTGTTGCTGGTAGCACATGCCTGTGATCCTGGCACTCTTGGAGGCTGAGGCAGGAGGATCTCGAGTTCTAGCCCAATCTTGGACAGTTGACACTGTCTTAACATTTCTTAAAAAAAAGGGCAGGGAGGGCCAGGGATTTACCTCAGTGGTTCCGCCGTCTGCCTCATAAGTGCAAGGTTCTGAGTTCAATCCCTGGTACCAAAAAAAAAGTAAAATAGGGCAGGGAATGCAGCTCAGTGAGAGGCCCTGGGTTCAACCCAAACCACACACACACACAGATATTCTTGCTTTTGATGTTTCTTTACTTCCTCCATACATAAATTAGAATAACCTTATCTCAATAAAACTCATTATTGGTAATTTATTGGAATTTTATTAAATTCATGAATGAATTTGAAGAACATTGATCTCTTTCTGATTTTAAATCTACTAATCCATAATGTAATGTTTTTCCTCCATATATTTAAGTGTTTTTTGTGCCCTTTCATAATTTTTATAAAAATTTATTGCTAGGTATAAATATTAAAATTTAAAAACATTAACATATATATCAATACAACTATAAACATAAAATTATGAAATTTATAAATATAACAAATATATTTACTTTTCCTATAAATAACCCTGCATAAAATGGATCTTTTCCATATCTATAATGTTATTTAGATATATTATAGCTCTTGATTCTTTGGTCTATCATTTTGAAGTTTTCTTCATACTCAGTTCTCTTGTTTGGTAGGATTTAGAATCATCCCACCTTTTTGGACTTTATGCTTAAGTCAGAAATGCTTAGGTTGTGTGAAGACACAGATCTGGGGACTTGGCGATACTGCAGCATTTTCTAATTATTATACCAAGACTGATAATTTTTAAAAATACATTTTTAAGGCCGGGGATTTAGCTCAGTGGTTCCGCCGCCTGGTCTGCAAGTGCAAGGACCGGAGTTCAATCCCCGGTACCAAAAAATAAATAAATAAATAAATAAAAATACGTTTTTAAAAGGCTTTCAACATTCAAATATAAGAATAAAATTCTGCGGGACCGGTGGAATGGAGATGGGTGTTCAAGGAAAAAAGGAATGACAGAATTTTGTACTGTTGCAGACTTACATATTTCTGAGATGGAAAACAGTGGCTATCAACTCACCCTGGTTTCGGTATAACAATGAAAATGTTTAAAAGTGTAGTGTCCTAGGGCCGGGGTTTTAGCTCAGTGGTTTTTCTGCCGCCTATCTTGCAAGCGCAAGGTCCCAAGTTTGACTCCCGATACCAAAAAAACCACAACGTGTAATGTCCTAAATTTATTCAAGGGCATCAACATTTACAGTACTCTATAGGTTGAGCATTCTAATCTCCAAATCCTAAATCCAAGATGCTCCAAACTCTGTGGAGTTTTTTGAGCAACATCATGACGACAGAAGTGGAAAACTCCACACCATAAAACTATTCCAAGCACAAAATTAAAAAAATTGTATAAAAATCACCTTCAGGTTATGTGTACATGAAACAAATTTATTTTGTTTTAAACTTGGGTCTCATCCCCAAGGTATCTTACTATGTATATGCAAAAATCGCTAAATAAGATTCAAATTCCAAAACACTTCTGGGCCCAAATATTTCGGATAAGGGATATGCGATCCGTGTTTTAACCCGCATTGAAAGCTGCAAGACGCCAACGAGAGTCACCCGGGCGCGGCTAGGGAGACTGGAGCGCAGGCCCATGCAGACCTCAGGGCGGCCCGGACAGACAGTGTGGAGTGGGGCAGCAGGTCCACGGGACCGCAGCCAGGGCTCCCGAGACTCTGCCTTCTCGAGGCTCACACCCCAGCCTTGCAGCCGGCGAGCGCTCCCTGCCGACCTGCACCCGCCCACTGGGCCGTGAAGGAAGCCAGGCTCCGGGGCCGCCGGTCCTCCACTCCAGGAGTGGGCTCGGGGAGGCCTGCGGTACGGCGCCTCTAAAAGCTTCCCGGCGCCCTTTTCACCAGGGCTCGGCTCAGTCGAGGACGGCGCCCTAGGCACCAGGAGCATCCTCACGGGGACGCGCACGCTGCGTACGTGCCCGCGCCCGCCGCAGTGCCCGGCGGAAGTGAGGTGGACCGCCCGGCAGTGGCGCAGCGTCGGCGGGAGCGCGGGTTGTGGAGAGGCGGGCCGGGCCGGGCCGAGCGGACGAGGGGGATTGCTGCGCCTGGGAGGCGGCGGGGACACGGGCCCGGGCCTCAGCCGCAGCTGGGATCGGCCTCCACAGCGCTCGCCCCTCACCTCACCCCACGGCCGAGCCCACCCGGGCCGGCGCGCGCCGGTGCCCGAGGCCCAGGCCGCCTGGAGCGGCGGTAAGTGGGGGCGGGGCGCCCTGCCGGAAGTGCGGTGCTTTGTGTGGCGGCGCCAAGGTCGGGCCCGGGGCGCTGGGCAGGGCGGGCCGGCGCTTTGTCCTGGGGCTGCGCGGCTGACTGGGGTTGCTGGGCGGGGCAGCCGGGGCGGGCTGCGGCCGGGCTGTGGCCCGGGAGGGCCCCTGGCCTCTGCACTTCGAGGTCGTAGCCGCGGAGCTAGGGACAGGCGCAGCAGTGTCGCTCCTGCCACTGCGCTCAGATCCCCGAGGGTGCCTTCGTTTCGAACCTATAGCGGCCACTCATTTGTCCACAGAGTCGCGTTCCGTTTGCCTTGTGCAGACCGAATGTCCTCCCTCCTGCTCAGAAAGGCACGGTCTAGGTAGGCTTGTAAGGTACTCAGAACGTTTCGCGCACATTTTGCAAAAAAGAAAGTGCACCTTTACGACATGTCGGCGAACGGGGCGTTCCTCTTATAGAACGTGCGAACATGCACCTGATGGATTGTAAAAGTTAATGTTTATTAAAGTTGCACGTGCATTTTGAAGTGTTTGGGCAGTAGGCTTTAAAATGGAAAGGTTTTATAGTTCCTTAAACTCCCCAGTTATCCTTGTGTAATTTGAGATTACTTTATCAAATATCATGCTGAGTGATTTCCGGTTAAATACAAAGTTTTGGTTTTGGTAGTTGTAGAGACACTTTAAAGGAGAATGAATTGTTTTTGTTTTGACAGCTAAGACTTACGAAATCTAAGACTAGTTTTCTGAAGCTGCTGTGGTGGTAACTGTGAAAGACTTAGTTTCTCTTAAGTTTTTATAAAGCAGGCGTACTTTGGTAAAGTGTGTGATGTTAATTTATGCAACAATTTGGAGTATCTTGGCATGCAAGGAAGCTTTATGAGTTAAAAATACTTGTGTTACTAAATGAAAGTTAAGTTTTTGAGAAGGTACTGCAGGCTTTTTAGTTGGAGTCTGCCAGCTTCGGATTCTACTGTTTTCACTGTGCAGCAGTCCGGAGAAATGCCCTAGCAATCAGTTTCCCATTCTTTATCCTGCCTTCAGAGTAGTGGGAGGATTAAGGCTCTGTGTAAGGCAAGTGCCGGGAGCCCAGGAAGAATGAAGCACCTTCGACTACCTTTCAGCCCATTTTCATTTTAAGGTGAGGTAGAATAGTAACGCCAAAATTACTTGAATTCCAAACCTTGGAAAATGCTATGGACAGCGTAATTATCACAGAGGTAGAAGATTAGAATTGGAAAAGAAAATCTGAAGTGGATTTTAAGGTTTTTTTTTTTAAGTTTCTGTAGGTTCTGTAATTCAAAGGGAAATTTTTGTCTTCGCAACTTGTATACAGTATACAGTATAGCCAGTGTCTTTTCCTGGATCAGGTGAGAACAATTTTTAAAATTACAGTATACCAGCATAATAGAGTAAATGCTTGTCTGGTGTATGTGTTCCACGCTATGTCTTTCTTCTTGAAATCTGTCTGATTGCAAAGATTGGTTGTGGAAATTGAGTTTGGAGAGTGGAGAACTTCTGTTACATGTTTTAAAGGGTATTGTATCTTGTGTATTGGTGTCACTGGAGAGAATTTAAGCCTCTTGAAATTAAGGTTGCTGATATGAAATACTAAAATATTAGACCTTAAAATTTTATAATTACTATTTTGTGTGGGAACTTTGTTTAGATCGAGGTCGATTTTAAAACTAGAGATAGTACAGTAATTAGTTTCATTTTAAAGATAAGCTTCTGATTTTAGTATATGTGCTGCCAAAGCGAGCACAATATACTTCTGATTTTATTTTTTTTTAGTTTTTATTTTTTTACTTCTGATTTTATTGGATTTTAAAATTGAGTTTTTTGGGCCGGGGATTTAGCTCAGTGGTTCTGCCACCTGCCTCGCAAACGCAAGGTCCCGAGTTTAATCCCTGGTACTCCCCAAAAATAAATAAGTAAAATTGAGTTTTTGCCATTATCTTTTTAAAGGTAAATATGAGATTTATTTTGATGCAGGTATCAAACCATCCCTAGGAATTCCAGCAGTTGAGTCATTTCAAACACGAAACTTGAAAAGTGGTACTCTCTGGATCCAGCTTTGGGATTAGGATCTTTGGTCCATACCAAATCAGAGTAGGAAATTAGTGGTTGCTGGGCGACTAGTGGCACTAGAATCCTAGGTAGATTGTTAAGGGTGGGTTTTTTTCCTTTACTTTTTTGTTATGTAAGTTAAAAAATATAGTAATTCAGTGTACATCCATATTCCCAACATATTGATGTAAAGATCATTAGCATTTTGTTGTATTTGCCCTTTTTTGTAGAAATACATTATTTTGTCCGTATGTAGTTTAGTATGCATCTCTAAAAACTATACATTTATCTATAACCACAGTAGTATTATTACATAACAGACTTAATTGTTTAGTGTCATCTGATACCCAGCCCATATTCAATTTGTCCCATGCATCATTTTTAAAAAATTGTGTTTTTTACAATTTTTTTCCAGGTAAATTAGAATCTAGAAAACATCCACTTACTGCCTTTGGGTCCAAATCTGTTTTAATTTAGAATTTCCTCCTCTGACCAACCTTTCTTTGAGACCATTGACTTGAAGAAACCAGGTCATTTATACTCTAGAACGCCCTTTCTTTTTCATTTGTTTGCTTTGTAGCAATTCCTCTAACTTCTTGTCTATACTTGTAAACTGAGGGTTACAGGTATGGCTCCATTTGGTCTTTGTAGTAGTGCATCTTAAGTGATAACAGAGTAACTCATTTGTCATACAAGGATGCACATAATGTAACTAGTTTGACTCTTGATGTTGAAGTTCATCAGTGGTTCAGGTTTCAAGTCTTCTAATCAATAAACAGATGTTTCAGTAATTCTGAATTAGATTTAAGTGTATGTCTTGTTAATATTTCTTGTTATGAAAAATCATATTTTGTTGGATAGCTCTTCAGCTGTTTACACACAGATACAAGGTGTTCACTCTGCCAAGCACTGTGTGAAGTTCAGGGAAATGGTGCTGAACAGGTATTTCCCTGTCCTCGAGCTCAGTCTTAGGGAAATCTCTCCTCATTTGAACCATAACTTAAGGAGCTTAGTACTGTCTTTGCTCACAGACAGATATGTCTGTTAGGTTACTGGTTTTCTTAAAAAAAAAAAAAAAAAAAGCAAGGCTTTTTATCAAGTTGGAGAGGAACCTGCAACTTTTTTCCACATCAGTCCTGTAATTTTAAGTTCATTAAAATTTTTAAATTGCTTACTTGCCTCTGGAGAAATAAAATTGCTTTCAGGAAATATAGATAGTTTGGAATTTAGGGTATTTAGAATTCAAGTGTGGTTATTATACTGTTTAGTGGAAAATTTAGAATACATTGTACTAATTAGTGATCTAGAGTGCAAGTCAGGTTGAATGAAAGGAGTCTCCTGGTGTTTTGTTTCATTGGGATTGTTTGAAGTTTTCCACTGTCACAAGTAGTGCAAAATAAACATTAAAGTACATTGTTGGGTGAAATACACATTGAATTTTTCCTGGGAGTATACCTAGGAGTGGAATTGTACGGTATCTGTTTAGTGAGCTTTGTTGCTCATCTGACAGCTCCTGCTCAGCCCACATGTTCCCCTGGTTGTTACCTAATTCATGTTTCATCATCGTTTGTTGTGTATTCCTATCCATAGCCTAAGTTTCAAATAAGTCCAGTTGTCCAGTATTCCTAAAATGCGTTTTGAGTTTTCTCATTTCTGCAGCTAATCAGTAAGTTATTGGAAATGCTTCGCCCTCCCTCTCCAATTGCATTTTTGCTCTCTGCACTTAACCTTCACTATTCTCCTGTGGCATTTCATGCTAATTGCCCTGTATTATTCATGCTTTTTGTGTTACTCCTTATAGGCCTGTGCTGTCCACAGCAACAGGTATTAATTTACATGGGATTGTTTAAAATAAAAATTTATTTGCCATATTTGGATAGTCCAGACATATTTCCATCTTTGCAGGAAATTTTGTTGGACAGCACTTCTTCTGGGTTGTAAACTCAGAAGAGGGACTTTTTTTCTTTCCTCCTCTTTCTCTCTTTGTGGCCTTTGCACAGTGCTTTGCTTTTCTTGAATTCAGTGAAGAATATAAAATTAGATTCTGGTACAGAACAGAGAACTAAATTTGAGAAGTATTTACTTCTTGGGAGATGATGATTGAACCAGGGAAGTAATGACTTCCTTGAGGGTCTCCACAGTTCTGATGCTGCAGGTCTCTCAAGAATGGGTTCCAGTCAGTGCGGAGCAGCAGGGGTCCGTATTAGGCAATGTGTGGGCTCCTAAACTCTGGGGAAACACAAAATTGATCTTCCTGCTTACTTGTTACACTTTCCTATCCTTGTTCACTCTCGGCTGTATGCCTGTACTGTCCACTACACTACAGTAATCCTGGCCACATGCAACTGAATTGAGGTTTAACAAAGAATTTGGCCACCTGTTTTAGATGATCATACTCATTTTTGGCAAGTAGCTACCATATTGTACAGCACAGGTAGAGTAGAACCTTATCACTGGAAGGTTCTGATTGAGACTTATCACTTAACTGTAGTTGTAGATGACATGGCAAATTTGGCTTTTGTTTAGAAAACTAAAACAGTTGGACAGTTCTTCAGTGTTCTTTTTTTTTCCCCCTGGTACTGGGTATTGAACGCAGGACTTTGAGCTTGCAAGGTAGGCGTAGTGCCGCTGAGCTAAATCTCCATCCCTTCAATCAGTGTTTTAATCACTGATGTTGCCAGTTTGTTTACTGTATTGGGGATTGAACCCAGAGCTTTCTCATTGAGCTACATTACTAGTCCTTTTTATTTTTTATTTTTGAGACAGGATGGTGCTAAGTTGCCTGGGCTGGGCTTGAATGAGAGATCCTCTGGCCTCATGCTTTCTACATGAAATTTATTGCAGAGGCTAAGGATGTGAGTTAGTAATTCTGTATATTAGACTGCTTGGTTATGAATATTCTGAGTCAGGTAAGGTGAAAATTTGAAGTTTTTAAAAATTTTGTTTTTATAATGCAGTTTGCTAACCTTGAGTGTCTGAGATACATGTGTGTTTTGGAAGGTGATCAGGTAGTTGCGTTTTTACAGCAGACAGTGTTATTTATGCTGGAGATACCACAGACAACATGATCAAGGGCATGTGCTTTGCTTGCATAGGGCTGCGTTCTCACTGGGGATGGCAGGCACTAAACAAGTAAATGGATGAACATTTTATGGATATTTAAAAATTTTTAAAATTTAAAAATAGGTTTATAGAGCAGTCTTAGGTTCATAGCAAAATTGAACAGAGAATACAGAGTTCCCTTATCCCTTTTGGCCTGATGCAGTTTTTATTTTAAAGATGAGCTTAATCTTTTTTAAATAAAATTTAGTAAAATACATAATAAGCTGTCTCCTTTAAACTACTACCTTGAACACAGTATTTCCATCGTTCTTATAACTTTTGGAAAGTCCTTTTCTCCCGAGTTTTTCCCCTCATTCCTTTCACTGCTTATACAGATGAATGGGTTTCATTCTGGCAGATCCTTATGTTCACGTATCATATTTCCATCTTTTCACCCTCACCCTGGACCCCTTCCTCCCCGCTAATTTCACTTTTTTTTTTTTTTTTTTGGTACCGGCTATGGAATTTGGGACCTTGCGCTTGCGAGGCAGGTGGCAGAACCACTGAGCTAAATCCCTGGCCCTAATTTCACATTTTGAGGGGGGTTTAATGTATATAATATTTTGCTCATGTCCATTTACCCACTACCTTCCTTTACATTTCTCTACCTCTCTTTTATTTTTCTTGTCTAATAATAGTCCTTCCTCTACTTACCATCTTTTTTAGATTCCACATATTAGGGAGAATGTGTGATATTTGTCTTTCCGAGTCTGGCTTATTTTGGTCAACATGATGGTTTCTAGATATATTTATTTCTTGCAAATGGTAGACCGTTCTTCCTTGTGGCTGAGTAATACTGGGATCTGCCAAACTGTCTATATCTATATATCCCATTTTCTTTATCCTTTCTTCTGTTAATGGGCATGTTGGTTGGTTCTGTATCTTGGCTAATTGTGCTGCAATAAACATGGGTATGGTGGTATCCTAATAGTATGCTGTCTTTAACTGCTTTCACTGTGTACCACAGAATGATATAGCTGGATCAAATCAAATGGTACTAGCTCCTTTTTTATTTTTATTTCTTTGAGGAACTTGACTTCCGTAGTGGCTGCACTAATTCATATTTCCACCAGCAGTTTAGAGGAGGCTTCCTTTTTCTACTGCATCCTCACCAGCATTGTTTTTTGTGTTCTTGATGACAGCCATTCTGACTAGGTGGGATAAAATATCACTGTAGTTTTGATTTGCATTTTCCTAATTCCTAAAGATGTTGAAATTTTTTCTTATTCTTACTGGCCATTTGTACTTCTTTTGAGAAGAGCCTGTTTAATTTGGTTGCCTGATTGTTGATTGGCTATTTGATTTTTGGTGTTTTTTTGAGTTCTTTGTATAATCTAGATATTAATCCTCTGTCAGAAGAGTAGCTGGGAAAGCTTTTCTCCCATTCTGTAGACTGTCTCTTCACCCTTTTATTTCCCTTGCTGTGTGGAAACATTTTAATTTAATGTAGTTTTCTTTGTTGCTGTTATTTCCTGTGCTATTATTGGAGTCCTGTTGAGGAAGAAAGTCTTTGCCTGTGCCTTTGGCTTCAAGTGTTTCCCTTGTTTTCTTTTAGAAGTTTCAATGTTTCATTTCATACTGATTTTTGTATAGGGTGAGAGAACAGGATCTAGTTTTAATCTTCTGGAAAGGGATATCTAGTTTTCCCAACACCATTTATTAAAGAGGTTATCTTTTCTCCAATGAATATTTTGGTTCCTTTGTCCAGAATTGGATGACTGTAGTTGAGTGGGCTTGTTTCTGTGTCCTTTATTCTATTCCATTAGTCAATATGTCTGTTTTTGTGCCAGTATGATCCTGTTTTTATTACTATGGCTTTGTAGTATAATTTGAAATTGGGTATTGTGATGCCTTTAGCCTTGATCTTTCGGCTTAGGATTGCAGTGGCTATTTCGTGTGTTCATATAAATTTTAGGATTTTTTTTCTAGTTCTGTGAAGACTGTCATTGGTATTTTGATTGGTGTTGCATTGAATCGGTACATCGCTTTTGGTAATATGGCTGTTTTGACGATTAATTCTGTCAATCCATGAGCATTGGAAGTCTTTCATTTTCTTTCTTCACTGTAAAATTTCCATTGTATAGGTATATTAGTCATGTTTCTGTTCACTGAGACCTTGACACCCACAATTTAAAGGAGAAGAAGTTTATTTTGGCTCATAATTTCAGTGAGTTCAGTCTATGGTCTGCAGGCTCTTAACCTGAAAAGTCATGGAAGATCACCTTAATCTTTTAGCCACAGTCAGTGGGTGATTTATCAAATGAGGACTAGGGAAAGCTCATACTTGAAGATGACACCGGATGGTAAAATTCAGAGGAGCTTTCTGGGAATACTACTGAGCATCTTATTTTGGTCAGGAAATAGGTAGGATCATAGTTGTGCAGATTCTTGAACTTCATGAAATAAAAGGATTAGTGAATGATAGAACATTGAGAGTGGCTGGCTGCAGATAATATATCTTTTTAAGAAAAAAATAACAAGTTACTTAAATTCAGAAAAGTACAAGGAATACTAAACCTATCTTTTCTTGAATAATTACTGTTCACATTTTTATGTATTTTGTCCCACTTTTTTCCGTTTGTGCTGGAGGTCCATGTGTCCATATGTAGGTATGCATTTGAGATCTACTTTATTCACTCTACTTTATTCACTTAGCATTGTATCATTCTTGTGTTTTTCAATACTTTTTAAAAAGCACTGCATGATGTTCCATTCTTTAAATATATCTTGGTTTACTTAACTATTACTACAAGAATATTTAGGATATTTGTAGAACACCCCCCCCCCCATTTTAATAGAAATGTAGTGAAATCTTTTTCCCCCATTCACCTCTGGAAGACAGAAGAGTTGTACAAAAATTACAAGTTGTGGATTTTGTCAACACGTTAGGATACTGAGTGTTTGGTTTCTGTTCTCTGCTGAAAAACATTGTTTTATAGTAGGCTAGAGAAAAACTCTTGCTGCATAATCTTTTGGGACAGATGCTGGACAAAAATCAGAACAAAGTGCTTGACTAAATTACTTTTTTTTTCTTTCAGTTCTTGAAATCATGAATCCTGTCTATAGCCCTGGATCTTCTGGGGTTCCTTATGCAAATGCCAAAGGAATTGGTTATCCAGGTAAGCAAGTAGAATTTTGTTTTAATTATTGAACTTTGAACACTTGGTCTGTTTCCATGTCTGTTAAAACAATTTCAGTGAACAAACCCAGCTCAGAGCAGCTTAGACAAGCAAACAAGTGGAAGTGAAAAATCAGGACCAGACTGGCTTTGGTCAAAACCTTATCTCGTAACTTCAGCAGTAGGAGCAGAATCTAGTTTGTCTACCTCTTGGTCTCAGCCTCACTTCTTCCTCAGTGTTAGTTCAGGGTTAGTCACAGACCACTCCTCTCTGCTGTGGTCTGTTAGATTAAGTGCCTTAGAGTAGTCTCTTACTAGGAGCCTCTTTATCTCTGTCCTGTAGGAAAGCCCGGCGAGGTGTCGTGTTCCCTGTTCAGGCTAGTCCTGGGGTTTGTCCTGATTGAGTTCAGTTTCTACTCTGGACCAGAGATCCTGCTGGTTAGGAGGATAGGATAGGAGATCTTACTGACTTGATTTCAACCTGAACCACATTCCTTTCCTTTAGTGGAGTCACTGAGGCAAACATGGGCTGTGGGCGTAGTGTGAACCAAAAGCTGGGGAAGCTATTTGGTCAGTATAGCCAATGGTTGTCCTGTCATAGGTTTTAACAATATAGTAGAAGAGATAACCTTAAAACCATGTTGCTACAAAAACTCTAAGAAAACGGAATAAAACATTTGACAGATGTATAACTGAACTTGGAGGAGGGAAGAGAAATATCTGGGCCAGATATGAAAGTGGCTCATTTGGCTATTGTGCTAGCATTGTGTCTGTCCTGGAGGTATTTGCTGTTTGTGGATTTTGACAACCCACATGGGGACAGAATGTAAGGGATAGGACAGTGGTGGCAAACTTGTGGCACACGTGTTGTGTTTTTTTCTTTAAAAGATACTAATATAGGAGTTTTTTTTCTTTAGTGTTCTGGCTTAATTGCAGTATTGGCACTTTTTGATAAAAACTGGGTTTTGGGCTGCAGTTTGGCGCTTGGTCTCGAAAAGTTTCACTATCAACTGGAGGTAGGACCTTTCGAGACAGGGAGTAGGAGTGGACCCTTTCATTTGTCAATCTGCTCCCTAGAGAATGATCCTTCCAGTGAAGACTGAGGAGTCCATTTATGAGCCCTGTGAGGAATCTTGTACCTATGGGCTCTGAGAAGGAGTATTTTCTAAGCATTTGTAGCCCTCAGGGATATTTGGGGCACTCATTTGTATTACTTATTTCCTAGGCTTTGACAAACATGAAAAATGGTCATCATGCTTCTTTGTCCCTGAAGTTCCTGATAACAGCAACTGCAGAATTGCTGTGGAGGCCCTGTCTTCAAACTGGGTTGTATGGGCTTTCCACAGAAATTCTGCTTGCTCACATACAATATATTACAAAACATGGAGCACTGTTCATCATGTAAAAACCTCCAGTCACTGCAGGAATGGAGCTATTAGGCAGAAGCTACACCACACAGACAAGTTTACCATAATTGCAAGTGTAAAAGAAAGAATCAAGTGTAAGAGGGAGCAAGATCCTGAGGAAAAAAGAACCATCTAGAACTTAAAAAAAAAAAAGCATTTGGACAAAACTGGTTAATTTGCAGATAGAACACTGCTAAAGAAAAATACCAGAATGTAATATAAGGAAAAGGGGGTATATTAATCAATTTTTCTGTTCCTGGGACAACTGGCAGCTTAAAGGAGGAGAGATTTGGGCCTGGGAATTTAGCTCAGTGGTTCCGACGCCTTCCTCAAAAGCGCAAGGTCCTGAGTTCGATCGATCCCTGGTACCAAAAAAAAAAAGGAGGAGAGATTTAATTTGGCTCATGGTTTCTGTCAGTGATCAGCTGGCCCAAAGGCAGAATCATGGCAGAAGGGCCTGGCAGAGCACAGCTGCTTAGTTCTAGGTGATGGGGAGAGCACCAGTGAGAGACAACACCCTCCAAAGGCGTGCCCCAGTCCCTGCCATGGGCCCACCTCCTGACAACACATTCAGGGGTGACTGTCACTGGACCAGTCCCCTGAATAGCAGAGCACCCCCACGATCCACTCACCTCTAAGAGTCTCTTCATCCAGTGTCCATGACAGTTAAGATTAACTGGCACAGTCTGGGAGGCTGAGGCAGGAGGATGACCAGGAGGATGACCAGTTTGAGCCCAGCCCAGGCAACTTAGTGACTTAATGAGAATCTGTCTCAGAATAAAAAAGGCTGTAGCTCAGTGTAAAAGCTTTGGGTTCAGTCTCCAGCACCACAAAAATAAAAAACCTATTCACTGGCACATGGGGACATAGGAGGCTGGTTAAGAAATTTGAGGAGAATGAAGGACTAAGCAACTGGAGGAAGAGGAGTGATGGAGTTTTCCAGATTGATGAAAGATTATTTAGTGGTGAGACCTATTATTTTAAAGCTATTAATGCTAGTGTAAGCAAAATATTAAATAGCTGAAGAGGATCCTGAGTGAATCTGGGCCAGGGAAACAGCCAGAAACCTGTTATTAACATTACCTAGTAGGATAATAAAACATTGCTTGTCATAAACATTAGTTACGCGCAAGGCTGTGAATGCTGAAATGTCTGCATTTTGTACTGCTATTTGATTAGTAAAAGGGACGGATTGGCAAACTCTACATAAAGGTCCAGGGAGTAAGTGTTTTGTGTGTGTGGATTGTACAAGTACAGTACTCAGTTCTGCTTTCAGTACAGAAGCAGCCTTTGACAATATTCAGCGTGCTGTGCTCTTAACAAAACTGAAAAAGGTGGTAGACTGTTGTTTGCTGACCCCTGGTCAAGGGAACCACTTTTAGGTTTTTTCCTTTTTTGGTCTGAAAATCACCCAGCCCTCTTATTTTAAGACAAGGTCTTGCTAAGTCACGAAGTTATTCAGGCTGGACTTGAGCTTAGATCCTCTTACCTCAGCCTTTCCCAGTGCTGGGTTCATAGATGTGCACCACTACGCTCAGCTTAAAAATTACTTTTAAAAGAAAATTTCTCTAATTTTAAAATGATTTTAAATTTTGTGGGCTTTTATATAATTTTTCCCTTTTTTTTCTTTATACTTACCTGTTTTTTTGGGTTTGATTTTTTTTTTGAGTCTCCCTGACTTATAAAACTATCAGCAAGGTCTCAGTGCAGTAAGCACTGCAGGTCCTTTAGACCAGATGGTCAGAAATGTAGACTTAGGTGCCTCCAGAGTTCTGAGGCCAATGGAACTTCCATCCCAAAAGCTGACAGGATGTTGTGAGAAGAGAGTGCTTTCACGGTATTTTATACTTTGACAAGTAGGTGGACCCATTACCTATTTATTTACATTTAACACGTTCGCGATAGGGCTGTAATTTATGTCTCACTGCTGGGCAGCTTGAACCACTGGTGTGGTACCTGCATGACTTTCCCATCACGTGGCTTTTTATTAATTTTACGAGTAAAAAGATTGATAAAAGTGATTAGATCTGTTTGTACCACCAGTGGTACAAGCCCAGTGGGAACATGTTAACAGAAGGGCAAACTCTTGGCCAAAACACATTTTTAATTATAGTAATTATTTATATAATTGAATTTATATCTAGAATCCTACTGGTGTTCTCTCTTTGTTAACACCTCTTGTTTTTTTGGTACTGGGGATTGAACTCGGGACCTTGTGCTTGCGAGGCAGGTGCTGGCGCCACTGAGCTAGATCCTCAGCCCGTTAACACCTCTTTTTATTTTCTTGCCTTTTTTGGATTAATCAAATATTTTTCTTTAATTTTCCTTATATTAGAAATTTTTTAACTATACCTTTAGTGGTTATTATGAAGATCATAATACTTTTGTAACCCCCTTTTCCTTTTATTCTGCCATACCTTAAGATATGACTTTCTTGGAAAGAGTGGTACTGGGAATTGAACCCAGTGGCCTTCTACCACTGACCTGTAACTGCACCCCCACCCCTACCCACCTTGTGATAAAGTCTTGCTAAGTTGCCCAGGCTGGGCTTGAACTTGACATCCTTCTGCCTCAGTCTCCTGAGTAGCCAGGGGAGGCCACTTTTAAAATTTGGTACAGTCAGCTTCCATTGATATTAACACATTATTTTTGATACCCTTCATTGCTTTTTCTATTGACATTTTTCTGTCTGGAATCATTGCCCTTTGTCTGAACAACTTCCATTAATATTTTTTTCCTCCATAGGTCTTTGAGTGCAATTTGTCTTTTGGTAATGTCTTTATTTTTCTTCATTTTGGGGGCACATTTTTGCTGAATATATTTGTTTTCTATAGCTGCTTACAACCACAGACTTGGTATGTTAAATTAGCAGAAATTTATTTTCTCAGAAGTCTGAAGTTAAGGTGTTGGCAGCTGCACTCCTTCTGGAGGTGCTGAGCATTGCTTCCTCTTGCAGTTTCTGGCACCATTGGTCTCCTTGACTTACCACATTTTGGCCACATCACTCCCATTTCTGCCTCCACGGTCACATTTTCTCTTCTGTTTGCTTTTGTTAAGGACACTTGTCATGGATTTAGGAACCACCTAGATAATCCAGGATGATCTCATCTCAAAATCCTTAGTCTTATCTACGGAGACTTTTTCCAGATAAGGTTTTAGTACAGATTCCAGGGATCTGATATGATTCTTTTGGGAGCCCACATTTGCCTGTAGCCTTGAATGTAGTGTTTTAGGTTGGCACTTAACTTTCACTCAGACTTTAAAGTCATAATTGCATTCTGGCTTCTATCAGAATAATTTTTGCTTCTTTAAAAATTGTAATTTTCGTCATTTGAACTTAAATATTAATACATCCATTTATCTAATCCTGCTAGTTTTGCTCAGATTTGCCATAAAAATCTATGTGCTAAATCACAATTCATTTATTTCCTACAGCTTCTGTTTTCTCCCAAATACCACTCAGTTGTTTTATTTTTTTATGTTTCAAAACAATTTTACTTCAACAAACAAATACCTTATATACTTGAAAACAACCCGTGACAAGTAACTTGAACATTTTGAAGTCAGATATTCATTTATGCACATGTATGTTCACAACTGCTGGATGCTGAGGAAGTGGCACCAGGTCTGGTTTCGTTTGGTCACAGCCCAGCTGAACACCTTGGACACAGCTCAGACTTCTGGACTCAGTCTAGAGGATGACAGGTTCAGGCTGCCATTTGGTGTAAGTGTTGGCTTTGTTGCAGCAGCTCTCAAGATACCACACAGTGGCAGTTCTTGGTGTTACTGAAAAGGACATACAGAAGGGCTTCAAACAGACCAGTGTGGTAAAGGACTAAATCTTCCCACATAAATAACAAACTTAAGTTACCATTGTGTTCATCAGCCATTTTCTTCATACTAACATCTGTGGAAGTCCTAAGGGGATGTGCCCCAGAGAGTAGGTTGTAAACTAGAGCAGTGTGTAGGAAGTCAGCCCCTTACAGACTTCACAAGTGGAGTGCCCGGGAGGCACCATTTTGGTGATGGGACAGTCTAGGGAGTGGTTGCCTGGATTTAGGCCCAATACTGTGGGGTATAGCCTTGGGTCCACAGAAGAGTTTGGAGAGACTCCTTGTCACGTTGAATGGGAGACTGCACAATAAATTAGAATAAGGACTGGTTCCTCCCTGTCCTTCAGTCTTCCCTTTGTGTGCTCTGGCTTTTATTGCTGCTCAGGGCCTGGGTAATCAGGGTGAGTGCAGGGAGAAGGCAGGCAAGTAGCTGAGTCCCTCAGGCAGGATTATCATCTCCCTTTAGCACAGCGTCTGCCAGTGGCAGGTCTGCAGGATGTCAGCAGCTGGCCCCTGAGGAAAAGCAGTATTCCTTGGTTCCTCAGTGTTTTTGATGGGGCAGCAAACACCCACGTGGTCCACTGCAAGAACATTGGACAAACTTGAAAAAGCAGATGATGGTTCAGGTGCCCTGTGGCCACAATCTTGTAGAGAAGGGACAACAGTGGCTACTTGGCATGGTGTGCCATGTTGGCTGAACTGGCCAAGACAGTACCTACTTCCTGATGAGGAAAAGGCACTGACTGAGGATGCTGTGGACAGCACACTGGTCGGTGCCTTTGTGTGGTTTCTGGTCAGACCTTCAGTGGGCCTCCCTGGACCAGTTTGTGAAAGACCCACTGTCCCTGATCTGGTGAATGAAGAGTTGATGCTCTCTCATCAACCAGGGGCAAACCAACCCTATTTTTGAAGCATGGCTTCTGGTCTACATCGCTGCCTGGTTCATGCCTTGGGCATATTGGAAAACCTCACAGAACCAAGTCCTAAGTCACAATAAATAGGTTTCTCAGCCACAGTATTGCTTAGGAAAGACAAGAGCCAAGAGTCAGTAGTTGTCCTGAAGTTCCAGTGTTGCGAGTTAGTGGGTTTTCCTGATGAGAAGCAGAGGGTGGGGCCTGGCCAAGGTTGGGCTGGTGTCTGCTAAGCCCTGTGGGGCATGCAACATGGCAGTGTGGGATTTCACAGTGATGTGATCCTTAAAAACAGGTCCAAGAGTTAGAAAAAGATCAGAACAGACCTGGAGTTTGCTCTTGGTGGCTTAAACTGACACCAGAAGCCAGTGATGATGGGGGGAGGCTCTGGAGGAGCTTTGCTCAGGTGGAGATGGAGCCAGCAGGTGTTGATGCTGGGAGACACTGCTGGAGCAGTGGCACCACACTGCCACATCCAGAAAAACGAATATCAAAAATAGATACTTGAGTAAGGTAAACCTGGCAATCTCAGCATGCTTTTGAGGTCTGGACACCCAGATCTCTGTTATGCTAGGGCTGCAGCTGGTGGTTTGCAATGGTAAGGCAAAGGGAGGAAGACGGTCCGAAATGAGGCTTCACCACCACACAATGAAATGCAAAGGTCCTGGTGCCAGGCTGGTCTCAGGCACATGAGAAACCAGTCAAACCCTTCACTGTGTTCATGTAAAGCTTCAGGGAAATTCTCAGAGGTACTCTTGGAGGTGTGGTGCACTATGGACGAAAGTAATGTCTCTTTCCAAGGAGACGTGGATTAAAGAAATGAGGTGCACTGGGTACAGAGCTCAGACGTAGAGAGAAGGGCAGTGGGCAAGGTGGGGTGGACACACAGATGTTGGAGGCCTCAGTGCCGGGGCCTCCTTGTTGATTAGCCTTCCTGCGAGGCTGTGGCCTGGCTAGAACTGCTGGGTGAGGCGTCTGTAGTGAGGTAACACTGTAGTGAGGTTCTCTGGAAGATACAAGGCCAGTTCAAAGCCACGAGGACTGTGAACTCAAAAACCAATGAGATCTCACTTGTTGAATCAGAATATTTCTTCCAACCTGTTAAGTTGCTTCACTTCTTTCTTGCGGAGGTCACTGCTGATCTTGGCAGTGAGTAGCACGCAGGCACCAGTGTGCAGTTTGCAGTTCTGTTTGTTGAGCTTGCCCTGCAGTACGAGCTTCTCATAGTATACATAGGCCATGGACATAGTCACGGGCTCCAGGCTGCACTTCTCAGACAGCTTCCTCATTTTCCACTTCATACTCCTGATTTTGCTCAATGTCAGTTTGATGTGTGGAAACTTTTCTCTGAAGGTCTTGTTCATGTCCTTCTTGAGGTCTGAGGACTTCACACATTCTATCACTGTGGTCATGTATGAGGCAAAGATGAGGACACACTTGTGCTTTCCACAGGGCCACTGTGGGTTGTCCAGGAGGTTGGGGTTGTACTCCAGGTTGTCTCCCCCATTGCTCCCTAGTTCCGTGCCAGCTGGTGTTATCTTGGCAATGGCAGGTTTGTGTCTCGACCCTGGCAGAGCCCGGGTGATGCTGGGCTGAGGTTGGGGCGGCAGGCCATGTCTGTCACTCTTGTATGCAACCAGAGCATTGGTAGGGTACAGGAACTTTGCGTAAGAGACAACCTTTCCATCTGCTTCCAGTTCAACACCTTCCAATTCAAAGACCAACTCGGAAGAAACAGACACGCCACCGGAGGGATGCCTCTGCTTCTGGCTCTCCACCCTTAGGTCACTGATCCGAAGGCCTTCTCCATAGGGCAGGACTGAGAAGGCCGTGCACAGGGACCGCTTGGCACAGATGAGCACGATCCTTCTGTTCGTGTCATACTGCCTCATGTTCTTGATGAAGTGGGTCTTCAGGCCTTTGTGTCTAGGCGACCCAGGTACATGTTTGGTTCTCTGTACGGAGGTGCAGCCCACTGTGTCTTTCAGGGAGCAGCACTGGGATGTGACTTGCCTCCTCTAATGCTGCTGTGGGGATGAGCAGGCCCTGGGGCACCACACTGGCACTCAGCTGGGGGATGGTGGGGGGAGCAGGGGCAGCCGCAGGGTCTTCTTACCACTGGGGGCCCAGGCTGAGGGGGCTGGCCATCCAGGGAGATGTTATTGAGGAAGAAGAAAGTGGCTTGTGGCACCACTGAGTCCCCGCACCTCCGCTACCTGGCCAGCGGGTTTCAGCTTTCGGCTTTCGGGTTTTGGGCGTGCTCCAGCCTGGCAGGGCAGGGAGTCAGGCCTGGGGCTCCTCCCTAAGGTGCTGCCTCACCACAGCCCATAAAGACTTATGTCAGAATGACTGCAGTCTCTGGATTATCTGTGGGTCTTTCTGTTGTCAACTTGTCTTTTGTTTTTTAGTCATGTGGTCCTGTCTTTTAGCCTGCCTAGGAATTTTCATTGGTTGTCACACACATAGTATTACAAATTGTGAAGGTCCAGTTTGTGGCTTTCTTTGCCAGCTGGATAGTGTGGTGGTGGTGGTGGTTTTGCTTCCTTCTCTTCATCCCCCATCTTCTTCCTCCTCTTGTGGGGTTTTGTGCAGCCTGGGTGGAAACGGAGTAGAAATAGTGTGGTAAGCTTTGTTCAGGGTGAGGGTATATAGTGAAGGGGCAGGGGAGAGAAGCCCAGAAGCAGCAGAGGCTCCCCAGGAGACCAGAGACCAGGTGTGTGGTGGTGTCCTATTTCTGGTAGTTTACATGGCTGTTTTAAGTATGTGTTATGTATGTTTTCTGTTTGATTTTAGAGCATTTAACTCCTTTTTAAGAAGGTTGGTATGGGAATAGTCAGCCAAATAAAGGTAGTTTTGTAGGGACCCTTAGATAAGCTCTAGCAGATAAGCACAGGGCAAATGACTTCTTCTGGGAGTTTACTCAGAGTTTATGGGGAGAGATGAGGATATTTGGATTTTGTGGGAATTGTTGCAGAGGCCTATAGGATATGATTTAGGTTAGTAGTGGTTATGTTTTAATAAATAATAGAATGATGTTTTAGAGCATTCTAACTGGTTCCCTGATATCAAAGCTATATCCTGGCAGCTCCTATGGGTGAGTTGGGAGCAGTTCCACAGCCTATGTGGGCCTCAGAGTCTGGTCTCTGAGGGAACTTTCAGTCAGTCCACAGAACAATGATGGAAACCGCTGCCTTGCTCTTTCCAGTGGCAATTTTAGGTCTATTTCAAGTGGAATCTGCCCTCGATGCCCAAAATGAGTTGATAAAACATTTGCCTACACACATTCTTTTCTCACTAGTTAGGGCAAGTGAGCAAGTGAGAATCCAGGCAGGAAATCCAAAATGGCTGCCACTGAGGTAGAGGAGAATCAGTTTCAAGAACCAAGGAAAGCAACTTTGTGTGTTTGTTTTTTTGGTACTGGGGATCGAACTCAGGACCTCGCACTTGCAAGGCAGGCGGTGGAACCACTGAGCTAAATCCCTGGCGCAGGAAAGCAACTTTGAAGCAGCAAAGTTGTCTCTGAGAACTAAGCACTTTTAGGGATTCCCGCGGGCCACAGGTGATAACCCCTGTTTCCCCAGAAACCTGAAGGGCAGCTTGGAGAGCAGGGAGATGGAGCAGGGCATCCAGGCTGGAGGAGGTGTGTGCTGCAGGGATTTGAGAAAGAACCTTTATCAGAACCTTCAATAAAACCTACCCCTGAACTCGGTATGTAGCTCAGTGCTAGAGTGTCTACCTTTTATGAGAGAGCCTTGCATTCAAGCCCCAGAACTGCAGAAAATATAAAATCCATTCACAAAGATGTTCCCTGCCCTGCTCCTGGTTTTCAGCTAACCCTCAGGGTTTCCTCACTTTGGTTACTATTACCACCATAGTGCCTTTGGGGTTCTGGTACACTTAAATGTCCTTGTTCACTGCCCTAGGAGACACCATTCTTTGGGTTTCCTCAGCCCAGTGTCTTTTGAAGACCACTGTTTTCTTTCAAGTTTATTTCTAGGTTAGAGAAGAGAGGAATAGAGAAGTACAGCCTCTTATAAGTAGTTGTGACACTAATGAAGCTATTGAGCTTGAGTTGGCTCTGTCTTCAGTACGAAGGCTTTCTAATGCCCTAATGCCCTTGCTGTCACACAAGTGTCATCTCCCGTGTGGTGAAGCAGAGGGCAAGCAGAAGGGGGCAGGAGTCTCATGAGCCCCTAGTCTCTGAGGAGGACTGAGCAGGTGACGGGCTCCCTCTGCTGGTGGCCACCCTGGAGGCCGGATTCTGACCAGAACACTAAGTGTGTTTAGTGTTTCTGTTGTGTTCATAGTAGGGATTATTAGTAGCTGTGGTTTGGTTTAGTAAAGACCCAGCTTGCTATTATGTGGATCCTGATTGGATTTTTCCCATTTCTGTGTGTCTACAGGGCCAAGCCCCTTCAGGAAGAATCCTGAAGTGTAAAAACATTGACAGTCTGGTGATCCTAAATTGGGGGAGTTGGGTTAGAACTTCAGAATATGAAGAAGTCTGAAATGAATTTAGAAATTTAAAATACAGTAGTGCTTATAATTTATCTTCTAATTGAAAATATGCAGTACTGTGGCAATGTCTTTGGAGTCACTGAGAATATATGGCCTTAAAACACTTATTGTCTCACAGAAGGAGAAATAGGCTGTGGTTCCAGGCTAGATTTGAATGATGGTTCTTCCATACTTTGAGTGGTAAAGCCAGATATAGGATCTAGCGCATGGTATTTTTAGTACTCCTATAATTCTTGCTAAGTAAGAAATCATGTGATTAGAATCTGGAATAAAACTGCCAGAAGTGTTGGAGCTTTCCTTCATCTTGGATTCTTTTAAAAAAAATTTTGGTCATTGTGATTATGATATTGCTGTTCTTATTTATTTAGATGCTGTTGATTTAACCCAAGGGCCTCAGATGTGCTAAGCACACACTCTGCCATTGAACTACACCCATAGCCTTTTGCTTTGGCTCTTTTTGACAGTAAACTTGTGACTCAGTTTCTGAATTTTTTTGCCAGTTGTAGGAAGTTACAAGAATTTGATTAGAGGTTTAAAAGACATGATTATGGCCATGCACATTGGCACACAGTTACTGGGGAGGTTGAGGCAGAAGGATCACAAGTTCAAGGCCAGTCTGGGCAAATTAATGGGACCAAATCTCAAAATAGAAAGGGCTGAGGTGTAGCTCATTGCAAGGCCTTGAATTCAGTTCCCAGCGTCCCACCCCTCAAAATACCTGATTATGGTTGTGACCTATCAAAATTCTGAGGTAAAAAAAGACAACTAGAGATGAAGTGTGAAGCACAGAGTGCCGCCATGGTCTCTAAGTTAGTGTGTGTGTGTGTTGGGGGGCCGTTCTGGAGACAATGGTAAGAGCAATATGTTTGTGAGACTTCTGGTTATAAGATCACCTCACACTTTCAATGATGACATCCCGTTGTGCTGTGTGTGTTTTCCTTCAGCTGGTTTCCCCATGGGCTATGCAGCAGCAGCTCCTGCTTATTCTCCCAACATGTACCCTGGAGCAAATCCTACCTTCCAAACAGGTATGTTCTGGTTGACCACATGCATTGTAATTCAGTTGGGGGAGAAAGTGAAGGGAATTGGTTTTGAGAAGAGGGAGCATGGACTTAGGATTTGGCCTTGTAGATTTCTTATTTCATAAAATTGCCCTGTTGATAAGGGGGAAAACAGTATAATTCTTAGTGCGCACAAAGCTTTAGATACACTGTAAATTCTGCCCCCATACAAATCTGTCACAACCTGTGACAGGTTAACTCTGTGTGCCAGAACTTACGTTCATGTAGTAGAGTTGACTACTAGAAACCGAAAGCTATCCCCCACCCCCCAAAGCTATCTTACTGATTTCTCTCCAATAGTTTGGCACTTGGTTATATTTTTAAAAGAAAGTCTTGTTTTCCTTGTAGGGTTCTTGGGGATATTTTTACATTTTAGAAATCATTGTTCAAACTGAATTGGTTTGGATCTGAATTTTGTAAAGATTATTTAGCAGGGAGTTCCTCCAGTGAAACCTGCACATTTTGTTGGGTTCTTTCAGGCTTTATTCAGCCACAGGACTTTGTAATTCCTTTGTAGCAGTGGTAGTCCATGGTTTGATATAAGAGCTTGGCTTGCCTTCCACAGGGGATGGTGATGGTGTCTTAAAAGATGATGGGGTAGTTAACTTTGACAGAAGAGATATTAGTAGTATCCCTCCCCAAATTCTTCCTGTTTTGTGACTCATATAATTCTGCCTTTGTATTCTACCCTTATGTCCATCTTTCTGTCTCCACTGTGACCACCTCTCTTCAGCCCTTAGTTTGTACTCAGAGACAAACCTTGCATGATCTTCCTGGTCCTAGGCCTTCTGTCATAAGTTCATGTTCATGCCCACTTCAGCCAAAGTAATGTGGGGTGAACTTCTTGATGCTTTCCCATCACTATAAGACACAGTTAAGCCAAGAGTTTTGATTTAAACTGCTGACCCTTTGATATAGTGGTCTCTTTTTTTTCTTTCCAAAACAGTTTTTTTTTCCTTTTGTATTCTTGTCTAGCTTTTTCTGGTGGGGGGGGGAGCACAGTTTCTCTTTGGCTTGACTAGAATACCTCTTCTTTGTGCCTGTCTTTGAGGCTGTGATGAACATCCCTTCTTTGAGGTCAGCAGTTGTTAACATGCTGTTATTCCCTGGGCGTTTGTGCCAGCCATCCATCTCCTTTTGTAAGACATCCCACATTGTTTAACTCTTTTTGTTGTTCTCTTGATTTACTCCACATATTTATCATGTACTGTTCAATAATCTTTGCTGTAAAGTATATGGCCAGCACAGTCGGGAGTGAACATATCCATTATTGGTATAAGTTTTGAGTTTTTGTCTGCACATTTCTAAGTCCCCCAGGCTGCAAGGAATCACTGCTCTGCCTTTTCTTGCTATTGATGAGTTTGTGTTTTCTAAAATGTTTGTGTAAATGAATTCACATAGAATGTCCCTTTTTTTGGACTGGCTTTTTTCATTTGGCATAATTACTTTGGCACCTGTCTTATATATATCACTGGTTCATTCCTTTTTATTATTAGGTTATGTTCCACTGTCTGGAAGTAGCACTTTGTCCATTTGCCAGGTAGTGAGCATTTGGGTTGTGGTTTTGTTGTATTATAAATGGAATTGCTATGAATATTTGTGGACAGTACCAGTCTTTATGTGCTTAAATTTCTCTTTGAGTAGATACAGAGGAGTGGAGTGACTGGTTCTTAAGGCAGATATGTAGTTAACTTTGTAAGAAACTGCCAAACTGTCTTCCAGAGTGGTTGTGCCATTTTACATTTCCCTTAGAGTATGAGAGATCTGGATGCTCCACATCCTTAGCATGGCTATGATCAGTTTTTAAAATTTTAGCTATTCTGATGGATGTGTAATGTATCAGTATAGTTTTAATTTTAATTTTCATAACAACTGATGGAAACTAATCATCATTTCTTTGCTTTTTTTTGCCATTTGTAAGTATGTCTTTGGTAGGGCTTATATGTGTCTTGTATTGTGTCAGTTACAGAGGGTTTTTTTTTTAAAGACCATTGGGTTTTTTTGTTTTGTTTTGTTTTGAGACAGGGTCTCACTATGTATTTCAGACTGACCTTGAGCTCACTATGTAGCCCAGGCTGGCCTAAACACGAAGCAGTACTATCTCAGCTTCCTGAGTGCTGGGATTACAGGTGTGCCCCACCACACTCAGCCATTAATTCATTTTTATTATTTCTATTTTCAATTTTTAAAACATTTCTTGAAATACTTTTTTTTTTTTTTTTGGTACCGGGGATCAAACACGGGTCCTTGTGCTTGCGCAGCAGGTGGCGAAACCACTGAGCTAAATCCCCGGCCCTTTAAAACATTTCTTAAGAGATCTTTTTACGTTGCCTAGGCCGGTCTTCAATTCCTTTCTATGCTGAAGTGATCCTTTTGCCTTAGCTTCCTGAGAAGCTGGGACTGCAGGTATGCACCACCACCACACCCAGGGCCTAAATTTGTTTTTTTATTGTTGAGTTTGGAGTGATTTTTTTCAGTAAATGAGCTGTAGAGGTTTTCTCCCAGTCTGTAGATTCTTTTATTCTTTTAATGGAGTCTTTTTTATTTTATTAGTAGTATTATTTTTTTGGTACCAGGGATCGAACTCAGGACCTTGTGCTTACAAGGCAGGTGATGGCACCACTGAGCTAAATTCCTGGCCCCTAATGGAGTCGTTTAGAGAGGAGTAGTTTTTAAAATTTGTTGAGGTTCAGTTTATCTTTTTTTTTTTTGTACCGCAGATCGAACTTGGGACTGTGCACTTGCAGGGTAGGCGGCAGAACCACTGAGCTTACCCTGGCCCTATCATTTTTTGTTTTAATCATGATTTTGAGATCCTTTCTGATAAATCTTCCTAACCCAACTTCATAATGATTTTGTCCTTTTTTCTTCAGGAGGTTTTATAGTTTAGGTTGTACATTTAGGTCTGTGGGCTATTTGGGGTTAATTTTTGCATACGGTGCTAGATCTGAGTGAAGTTTACTTTTGTGTATTAAGGCTACAGTAAGCCACCATAAAATAAGTTATTTTTCTAGAGTTTTCAAAGGTAGCTAGTTCACTTACAGTATTTTTTCTTAATGGAGGAGAAGTTAAGGTAAAAACTCCCAACTAAATTTTATCATTTTACAAAAAATACCTCTTATTTATTTGAGGCTGACCTAGTTGTTCTTGCCAAAAGTGTGCAGCCCTTCCCTTTATAGGAGTGTTGCTGTGTGGAGGCTGTTGGCCTCTGTAGGATAGGCATCACCCACCTTCTCTTACAGCTATCCTTTCTTGGCCCTTTTCCAGGACTGCTCTTAAATGGATCCCCTAACCCAGAAGCTGGGACAGGTAGGTAGGAAGTGCGATTGCCCAAGCGCCTGCCTTGAGATGAGGTGTCCACTGATGGGTACCAGACAGTTGTTGGCTGCCAGACTGCTGGCCTAGCAGTACCAGATTTTTTTTTTCTTTTTGAGAAGCTGCAAGTAAAGACTTTTATGTGAAATTGGTGTATGAAAAGAGATGGGCTCGGGATGTAGCTCAGTGGTAGAATGCGTACCTAGCATGCATAAAGATCTAGGTTCAATCCCCAGCACCACCAAGATACTTTGAAGATCCTGTCAGTGACTTGAAGTGCTGTTGAATATGGGACACAGCTATACTCTGATCTTTTGAGTTTGTCACGTTTTAAATATTTTAATTTCCTTTTTCAGTGGACCTTTCCTCTTACTGAGCAAGCCAGTCATCACTTTAAAAACATTAAGGAAGTTTTTCACCATTCATGCTTCTTTCTTGATATACTTTCTGGTTTTCTTAAATCATCAGATTTGTGGACAAAGCTGATCTTGGTGTAGGGACTTTATTTGTGGAATTTGTCTTTCAGGCTGCTTTTGTATCCCCTAGTACTGTTCTTTTTTTTTTTTTTGGTATTGGGGATTGAACTCGGGTCCTTGTGCTTGAGGGCAGGTAGTGGAACCACTGAGCTAGATCCTCGGCCCTGCTGTTCTTTTTTTTTAGCCCCTTAGTCCAAGTGTGACAAAGAGAGGGTTCAGAACACCTACCTACCTTGTGATGTTGAAGTGTGATTTTTGCTGAAGGGTTCCATTACATGCAGTCTGGAAGCGGAGAAGCTGACCTTTGTTTTGACTTCCCAGAAAATGTAGTAGGCTGTATACACATGCAGCCAGAGTGAGCAGTCTAATTTTGGAATCACAGTTTGGACTGTGAGGTGACTAGGTGGTTTATCTTCTGGCCACGTTTAACTTTACTCTTGGCATTTGTCTGAAGAACAGATCTACCCCTTCACTGTGTTATTGGAGAATTGTAGCCCCAGGCTCATGCTCAGGACCAGATGTCAGCAGGCCAGGCTCAGGCCCTCAGCTAGCATGTTCAGGCCTCCGTCTTGTTCTGCTTATGGCCAACCAGGACCGGTAACTGATACTTGGCAATGATGATCTGAAATCATGTAAGCTCAGTGTTTAGAAAAAGATGGAAATGTGCATAGAATGATGTATCTTATGGTACTAATCAGATTGTAAACATTTATATACTAGTATGAACACTTCTAATAAAGTATTGGTTTAATTAAACTTGGTATCACAACGTTTATTTTTATTTTTATTTATTTTTTGGTACTGGGGATTGAACCTCAGGGTCTTGGGCTTGCAAGGCAGGCACGGTGCCACTGAGCTAAATCCCTGGCCCCGCCTGTTCTTTATTTGAAGGATATTTAATAAGTGAAAATTCTTCCCACCTTTTTTTTTTCTTTTTAAACTCAGACTTAGGCCTGTGAAGTGAGACCCTAGGTCTGTTTAAAAATTAAACTTAATTGATGGCAGCCACATAGCAGAGAATAGCATTAGAATAATAGTAGGCTGTGGGGTTGTAGGAGACTTTTAAAGGTTTACATGTACATAGTTTAAAAATTTCAAATCTATAAGCTTTTAAAAATGAAAACAGCAGTTCCCTACTACCTTGTTTTGAAAGCCTGTTCCCACAGCATAGGCAAACTCAGTCATTAAACTCTTCGAGCTGTTCATTTTGCTGTTGTGTTCCATATGTCCACATATTCTGTTGCTACTTTTTTATTTTTTTAAAGGAAATACTGCTTGCTGATGTGTCAATTTGGATAAGAATTTAGCCTTTTATTTCCTTGAGCAGGAGGGTAATGACTTCTCATCCCTCTTAGAGCCTTGTTCACAGTTGTGTCATGCATATGTGGTTATTTTTCATCTGCAGCCCCTTTTTCCTCCCTGGAATTGATGCTCACCTGGTATCTTTCATTAGGTGTCTGTGATTCTGTCATTAAACACCCAGGGTCCCACCAGCTGTGGGAATGTCCTCTGAGGGCATTTCTGTACATGGGTGTTCTGGTGTCTGTTGTGCTCAGAGAATCCCTCTTGGAGACCTGTGCCCAGGCCTTCCTCACTCGTCTTCTTGGGTGTGTGTTCAGGCTGGCAGTACCCATCCGCCTTCTATCCCAAGCTCTTTCTACAGTTTGCACAGTGACAGGATGGTCATGCACTTTCTTGTTAGGAATATTGATGGGTCTCTTAGAGGATAACTGTATTTTCTTTCCACTTGTGAATTCACCACGTTTAAGCTTTTACTTCTTCAAACAGCATTTCCTTTTTTCCTGTCTTTCTTTTGTGAGTCAGTTTATCATGTAGAACTGTACGTTTCTGTTGAGCATTGGCTGTATTTTCTGCAGAACTTGTCTTAACTTTGTTCTTCCAGACCCTGCCCAGCTCCCAGGCTGTCTTTCACATTAGGTTGCTGAAGATCCACGTCTTCCTGTGATAACCTTTTTAAAGGCTCAGCCAGATACTGGTTCTTCTAGATGCACACTGGAATGTAGTGATTCAGTCAGCTAGCTTCCTAACTTGTGTTTTCAGCTGATGAGTAACCCTTGATGGAGATTTTGTACCTAGCTCTCCTCACAGTTCTGTCTTTGTCTGAAAGCTGTCTTTAGTTTGTTAGGTTGGTTAGTTTGGTTTTTTGTCTTTTGAGACAGTCTCACTGTGTTGCTCAGGGTGGCCTTGAACTTCAGGTCTGAGACCATCCTCCTGCCTGAGTCTCCCCAAGTAGCTGGGACTACAAATTAATATCATTGAGTCCAGTTTGAAAGCATATTTTCTCATTTATTGCAAAAAATTGTCAGATATACAGAACAGTCCAGAGACCAGTATAATGAGTGCTCAAAATACCCGCCACCTAGATCCATCAGTTGTCATTTTGTCCTCTTGCCTTTATCTTTATAAGGATGAATGTGCATGTGTGTACTCTTTTTCCTTTTCCTTTTTCTGCTGAACTAATTCAGAATTGTGTATAGCCATTGTGGCTCTTTTCCTGTGGACTTCAGAATGTGCCTTCCTTACATTACAGTAAAGACATTATTCTTCATGATCATTGTCACATTTAGAAATAATAATTCCATAATTTTATTAATAGTGCATGCCATACTTAGAAATAGTAATCCCCTAATTTCATTTAATAGTGCATATTCAAATTTCTCCAGTTATAGCAAAACTTTTTTTATAGCAAAATTTTTTAATATTTGGAATCAGGATCTACTTAATGTTACATGTTGGCTTTATTTTGTATGTCTCTTCTTTGTTTGTTTGTTTGTTTGTTTTTCATACTGGGGATCGAACTTAGCTTGCGCTTGTGAGACAGGCAGCAGCACCACTGAGCTAAATCCCCGGCCCTCGTTTCTTAATCTGTAATACTTTGCCTAACCATTACTTTAGTATTTTTTGACTTTAAAAAGTTTTTGCTAAGAGCAATTTTATTTTTTATTTTATTTTATTTTTTTTGTACCAGGGATTAAACTCAGGATCTTGAGCTTGAGAGACAAGCGATGGCACCACTGAGCTAAATCCCTGGCCCCATTTTTTGGTTTGTTTTTAACAGGGTATTGCTATGTAGTTCAGGCTACCCTTGAACACACTATGTAGTCCAGGCTGGCCTCAAACTTATGACAGTCTTTCTGTCTCAGCCTCCCAAGTGCCGGGATTACTGGTGTGCACCATCATGCCCAGCAGAAACAATTTTAAATATGTGCACAAGTAAGTGGGAGTATAATCCCTGCTTATCCATCACCAGCTCAGAGCTGATATTTTTTATCTGTACTCCCACTCCTTTCCCTTGTATTATTTTGAAGCAACTTTTGGGTATTGTCTATGGTTTTTAGTAGTAGCTTTAAAGGATACTTGTGTCATTTTCACACCTAAAAACAAATTCCTTGATGCTATTAAAATTATAATCATGCGGGGGATTTATTAGCTCAGTGGTGCTGACACCTGCCTCGCAAGGACAAGGTCCTGAGTTTGATCCCCAGTACCAAAAAAAAAAATTATAATCAGTGTTCATATTTCCAGTTATCTCATCTATGTTGCAAATGCTTTTAAATTGAAAAATGAAGAAACTGCAAATTCTGAATGTGGTTCCTAATTTTTAAATCTAGCATCTCTTCTCAAAATGCTACACACAGAAGGTAACTATGAATAAATAATTTGATTGTGGTACTTAATAAATTGTTAACATCTTGTTCAAGAGTGAGTTTAGTGACTGCTAGGGTGATCTCTTGATTAAGGTCTGTGGAAATAAAGCAGCAAGAACTGGACTTCAGCTGTGGAATGGGAGTCACATTTAGCAGTGTCTACCTGTGAGTCAACAAGAGCATCTGCTTGGGGTCTTGCTGTGTTGTGGTTATGGTTATGGTTATGGAACGTGAAGGAGGAGTGGCTTGTGGGGAGGAAGCTTATCCAGGATGTTACTTTCCCCTGCTCTCATCTCCATGGTTCCTTTCTTTTTAGACAACATTGCCCCACTCTGAGCTGAGCCCTGCTTACTTGCCAAGACTGCATAAATGCTGCTGTGTTGGTGGTCTGTTTTCTTGCAACTTTCCTCTGTAGTCAGGTACCTTGTGGAGAGAACTGGATTTTCCCAATTGTTTCTGTGACAGGGCTTTACCCTATGTTGGTGGCGGACAGCTGGTATAATGCTCTCATGGCCAGGCCTAGTGACAGTGTGCCTGCTTTGCACTGTGCAAGCCAATAGCTTAGAGATATGGCTGTCCTGGGCCACCTCTTGGGAGTGTCAGTGCATGGCAGAGACTTGATAGCTACTGTATTGCCTTTTTTTTATAATTAAAGAATAGGGCCGGCGATTTAGCTCAGTGGTTTCACCGCCTGCTGCACAAGCGCAAGGACCTGAGTTCAATCCCCGGTACCCCCCCCAAAAAAATTATAATTAAAGAAAATGTTTTGAAGCCTTGGGGTTTCATTGGCATGCAGTAAAGCATACATAAAGTTTTAATTTGAATTTCACTATGTGAAACCATCACTTTGCCCTTTTATTCTTAAAGACTAGGAGATGGACAGCCTTACAAAAAGTGACTGTGTTAGTGTTCCATCTGTGTAATTGACTTTCTCAGAGAAAATGCTTATCTTGGCTGAATAATTTTGAAAGTTTCAGCCCATGATCAATTGACTGACTCTATTACTTTTGGTGAGGAAGCACATCGTGGCATAGGTGATAGTGGAGGTTCCCCTCAAAACTGGGGAATGAAAAAGAGTAAAAGAGGTCCAGGGTCTTACCCATGGTGACCCAAAGACTTCATCTCTTAAAGTTTCCATCACCTCCTAAGAGCACCATGTTAGGGACCAAACCTTCTCATGGACCCTGGGAGGACACTCAATATCTAAACTGTAGTAGGGACCCTTTAGTGGTCTTGACTTTGAACTTGCTTTTCTAACTCCTAACAGAAAATCTGTGTACTGGACTCTTATTTAGCCAAGCACCAGTATTGAAAGTTGGTGTATTCAAATTTTGGCAGTGTTTCTGTTTCCAGTTAATGTAGCAGTAATCAATTGTAAAATAATACAGAAACCTGAAAGGATCTTTTCTTACTTCAGTTAACAATCAGTGGAGGTTGGGAGTCCCTTCATTTGAGTGAAAGGATCAAAATTGCATGCAGATAAATGGACTTGAGTATCTTCTTTGTGGCCAAACACTGGGCCAGCTGTTGCGCAGACTGAAGGATGTATATGAAGGGGAATTCTGGGTATGCCTCAGAAAGCAAGACTGGAAGGTCTTCATGAACCTGGACATTCAGCATATGGAGGTTCAGAAGCCCTCTAGGAATTGATGTGTATCTATGGCCGAACAAGAGAACATAACTGACCTGGCCCCTGGGAGGAATGCAAAATTTCTTTCTTGTGGCTTAAAAAAATGACCATTTAATATGGGTGGATTTCCTGAAAATCATTTATTCTCTTTCTCTCTTTTAAATTAAAAAATGTGTACATTGCTAAATACAGCCTAGTAGTATAATTAAAAATTTTTTAACTTAAAAATTTTTATCCTTGGTTTTTTTTTTTAATTAATTGATTTCTTTGGAGGGTTACCGGGAATTAAACTCAGGGCCTCGCGCTTACCAGGCAGAACTGTGCTGCTGAGCTACATCCCTGGCCTCATCGGTTTATTTTTTAAGCTTGAAGGGTAATTTTGTATGAAACACTTATGTTAATTGTGCATTTGGATGAATTTCCTTCTCATGGAATCACTGCCCAAAACAAAATACAAAAGGGCCAAGGATTTAGCTCAGTGAGGTCACTGCCTCACAGCACAAGGTCCTGAGTTCTGTCCCCAGTACCAAAACAAAATACAGAACACTTGTATCATCCCAGAAGGTTTTCTTTCCCTCACTCCTCTTTCTGATTTCTGTTACCATAGGTGGGTTTACTTATTAAGTATGTAAATACTGTAATTCAGTGTGTGTTGCTCTGGTCTGGCTTTTTGTGTGGATATGTCACAGTGTATCCTTTCCCTTGCAAACATTTGGGTTATTTTCCATTTAGGAATTAGATTGGTGAACATGTTCTACAATTCCCATTGTGAACTCGTGCTTTCATTTTTGTAGGGGTAATATCTAGAAGTTACATTGCTGGGTGCTGTGGTGAGCATGTCTGTGGCTGGAGATGGTGCACTTTCTGGTACCCATGGGCAGCCTGAATGCTCCATGCCTTTGGCATCAGCTGGGATATGGACTGCCTTACAGACTGTTCAGGGTAGACTTTACATGTACTGGAAGCCATCTGTTACCATGTGTAGCTTGGTATGTTTGGACAGTTGTATAGGGCTATACAGTGCCACCACAGCCAAGTGACTGCTCTTTGAAAGACCCACATACCCCTCTGCCTGTGGCCACCAATTGTGGGTTTTCTGTCACTGTAGATTTGTCTTTCCTGGAGGTTCCTGTCATGCACACAGCATGTAACGTTCTGGCTTTCTTTCATATGATGCAATGATTCTGAGACTCATTCATGTAGTTTTGTGTGTCCTCGGTTTGTACCCTTTGATTGTGAATGGTATTTGGTTGTGAGGACACACACCACAGCTTGTCTGTTCCTCAGCTGAATGGTGGACATTCAGGCCCATTTCCAGCTTTGGGTAGATGAGCAAAGCTGCTGTGATCATAGCATTCCAGAAGCCCTCACCCGTCTTCCCTGGGAGCAGATCTCTGTCCCTGTTGCCATGGGGAGTCAGGCACTAATGTTTACTCAGTACACTCATGGCCCCTCCGTCCCACCAGGGACCCTCAACAGCTGAAAACATGCTGGTGGCCTGCAGTTTTCCAGTTGCTGGGAAGATGCTTTCTGGTGTCAGGCTGCTTCTCCACATTCCTCACTACTGGCTGCAAGTGCAGCTTTCTTTGGTCAGCTAAGTCATCTTCCACTGCAGCTTTTTAGGTTTCAAAACACTGTCTTCGCTTCCAATCTTGGGCCATGTAGGTTTATTTTTTTTTAATTTCTCAATCTGCCTTATGGTCATTTTAATATCATTTTTGGTGGGAGCAAAAGCAAATGTGTGTGTTTAACCTGCTTCCTTTACCTCTTTATCTCCTCCCTTTACTTCTTTTACCATAGGGTGCTGAGCCAATTCCTGTTTGACAAGTCTCTCCCTTTGTTCTTGTTACAGTAAATAATGTTGAGATAGACATGCTTACAATTAATTTTTTTTTTTTTTCTTTTTCGGTGCTGGGGATTGAACTCAGGACCTTGCACTTGTGAGGCAGGTGTGTCGCCACTGAGTTAAATCCTTGGCCCTGCTTACAGTTAAGTCTTAGTGTATATTTGCTTATTTCTTTAAGGCAGATTTCTAGAGGTTAAAAGACTTAAGCATTTTTAATGACAAATTGAACACTACAAAGGCCATATCAATTTATACTCCAGTGGGACAGGACGAGTGTTTATTTCCTGGTTTTTTGTGACCATATGTTCTGGGACTTTCTCCTCCATCCCAAAATCCAACCCTACTGCAGTTGCACACAGAGCTAACAAACAGAGGCAGGTCTCAGTGAAGATCAGGGCTACAGTGGTGTCAGATCTTAACCATGTTATTCATGAGCTGACATGCGTCTGGCTCCTCCCTGCACACTCATCCTTCCCCATGTCTCACACGGGCTAGGGTAAACTTGGGCCGTTGCCTTCTGTTCCAGGTTACACTCCTGGCACACCATACAAAGTGTCCTGCTCCCCCACCAGTGGGGCTGTACCACCATACTCCTCCTCCCCCAACCCCTATCAGACCGCCGTGTACCCTGTGCGAAGTGCCTACCCTCAGCAGAGCCCGTATGCACAGGTATGCTTGGGGACACCCTACGCTGTGGGAAGGGTCGGTTTCATCAGGTCTCAATGGCTGTGGCACCCTGTGGCAGTTGTCTCTGTTCTCCCCACAGCAAGGCACCTACTACACACAGCCACTGTATGCAGCACCCCCTCACGTCATCCACCACACCACGGTGGTGCAGCCCAACGGCATGCCAGCAACGGTGTATCCTGCTCCCATCCCTCCTCCAAGAGGCAGTGGGGTCACCATGGGCATGGTTGCTGGAACCACCATGGCCATGTCAGCAGGTGAGTCTGTTCCTGTTTGTGTCTTCTGGGGAAGCTTGAGAGTGGGGTGAAGTTGGGGAGAGCCTGTGAATATTGACCCTTGGGTATAGTGTTTTATGGCTACACATAATTTAGGGGGCAAGAAGCAGCAAATTATCTTTTCCTTCCTCTCCTTCCCTGTTTCCTTTAAGTTGAGAGGAAACGGGAGTGTGGGGTGGAGAGTAACAAACCATGAACCAAGTGACCTCCCTTGTGGAGCATAACTGAATAGCACACTGACTTTTTTTTTGGTACTGGGGATCGAACTCGGGACCTTATGCTCGCAAGGCAGGCGCCAGAACCACTGAGCTAAATCCCCAGCCCAGCACACTGATTTTGATGGAGTTGATTTGTTAGTGGGCTATTATGCAGTAGTGCGGGCTGAACCTCTCCGAACTTCCGTTAGCACAAGCTGAATTTTTAGGTCAAGCTGCATTAATACACGTTTTCATAAATCTAGGAAAGCTGGTCTTGTGTTAATAGAAGTAATAGTTGCCTGTAGAAATATGTTGGTATTTATCTGCCTTACTCCCCCAGGCTTCCTGTACAACAGGAAAATAAAAACCATGGGGAGTTAAGACTTGGCTAGGGTCAGCATGTCTCCATGGACGTAAAGAATCCCTGGGGACTTCATCTGATAATGTCTGGGGATTGGCTAGTCTTTTGGGTGGGGCCCACATGAGACACAGTTGGTTCCCCATAATTCTTTTATTCCCAGGCTTTACTTCAAAATAAGGGAATTGTGCCAGAGAGAAAGGCATTCCAGGATACAGTGTATTTCTTCTGCTCAGACCCTCCATTTCACTTGGTTTTCCCACCCTGTCAAGGCCAAGAAGACTGTGCAGACAGAAGCTGCATGCATGCCTTCAGCCCCTGGGAGGAGGGAGTGTAAGCAGCAGAGAGTTAGTCCCTGCACTGAGGTACTGCTTTTCCTTGAGTGGACTCAGTCACTGAACCTCTGCAGTACAGCAAAAATAGATTTCTCTCAGTGTACTTGGAAGCTCATGTAGTTTGGAACCCTTTTTCACATGTTTCTTTGCCCTGCCCATCTAAACCATTTTTTAGTGTACAGTTCTCTCGTGCAGGTATATTCACAATGTTTTTCCTTTTGCAAATCTAAAACTACTTTACCTCTTAAACAAAACTTCCCTTTTCTGCTGCCCTCTACCTCTGGCACCTACCATTCTGTGCTTTGTGTCTATGAATTTGACAACTGTTAAATAACTTGTATCAGTGGAATCACAGTGTTTTATCTATCACTGGCTTTTTTACCTTTTTCACTTAGCATTGTGCCCTCATGTTTCAGCTGTGTTGTAGCATATATCAGAATTTCTCACCTGTTTTAAGGTTAACAGCATCATTTTTAAACTTTCGTGGTTTATCATCTGACTCATAAAAATATTTTGCATATTCTATGAAGGGGAGGCACAGACCTTTTTACAAATATGTTATCAATAGGAGCCACCTGTGGTCATACATGTTTAACTCCTCAGGAGAATCAAATCAGAGTTCTATCCTTGCTCTCGGTGTAGACCATCCCCCTCCTTTGTGCCTCCCTCTGGACAGAGGCCAGGCCCTGGATCTCTTAGAGGTAGTGGAGCTGTGTGCAGATGCTGGCCATGCAGTGTGTATGCCTGCCTTGTGTGCCATGTGCTGCTCTTTCTTGCAGGTACCCTGTTGACAGCTCACTCGCCAACTCCCGTCGCCCCTCACCCAGTCACTGTGCCCACATACCGGGCTCCAGGAACACCCACTTACAGCTATGTGCCCCCTCAGTGGTGATCACCCTGCAGACAAATGTAAGTAGCCATGAAAGCTGATGGGTCCCTGGTGAAAGTGTGTTTCTCAGAGGAGAATGGCAAACCTATAAGCACCAATAAGAAAAATGTACCCATTGCTAAGAGCAATGTAGTGTTTTATGCTTTTGTTTTTATTGGGACTTCACAAAGTAGAAGGAAACTATGAGTGTTTGTTTAAAGACAAGGTCTCACTATGTAGTTCAGACTGGTTTGAACTTACTTGTAGCTCATACTGGCCTCAAACTCACAGCACTTCTCCTGCCTCAGTCTCCAGGGTGATGCGATCACAGGCGTGTGCCACCACGCCTGGCTGGTGTGTTTACTTCTTATACTGTGCACCTTGATCCTCACCTGGAGTGTGCTTGTGTCCCCCCTCCCACCTGCGGAAAAGAGGGAAAGTCTGGTCCCTGTGTAGTGGGTGGGTACCAGATTCACCTGCTTTGCCTATGGTGGCCCTCTGGCATCCCTGGACTTCACTGTGGCATTTTCTGAGCAGCATCCCAGAAATGCTCCATGTGACTTTGTGTCTGTTCTTCTCCAGGTTTGAGGATGGAGCTGTGCAGTCACATCATTGAGGTTCCACAGCTGGTGCTGCAGGCCTTGTGCCTCCAACCAAGACTTTCTTCTTAATGCTCTCAACACTTAGCTAAACACAACTACGTTCCGGCCCAGCAGGTCCCAGCGCCATTAGTCTCCAACTAACTCTGTGGGTTGGTCATAAATCTTGTTTTGTGGTCTGCTTGGCAATTTTTTAGCTAACTGTAATGATAAGAAGGGAGTATTAATCTATTCTGAATCATATCTAGTTGAATGCATGTTAAAAAACACAAAAACCAAGCTTGCTCAATCTACCTGCAGTGACTGATGCAAAACCATCATATGCAAAACCCAAAGGAATGGAAATGTATTTTACAACTTGTATCACTAATGCACTGTTGTAATGTATGCAGTCTTAATGTTAATGAGTGTTAAAGTGAATTCATAGAGCATCTGAACTACCTTAGATGATTCTTCAGCCTTTTGGGGTTGATGTGGGTAGCCAGTTAGGGACTTGGACTTTTAGTTTTCAGTGGCCTGTGTCTTTGACACTGACTGCACCAAGAGGGAGCTACAGGGACAGGGAGAGAGTAGGGAGGCTACAGTAGCTCAGGAGCAGCCAGTCATGGGGTGTCCCCTTCTTTCTGTTCATCCTTGGAGGGGTCAGGGGAACAGGGACATGCTTAAAGATCATCATGAAACATTAGAGCCATGTGGCCAGGACACTTAGGGGTGAGGGTGGTCTGCATATCAACAAAGCAATTTTCTCTGTCATCTAAATTTTCATTGTACATCTCTTACAAAGAAGGATTTTTTTATATATCTTTATTAGAAAAATCCTGTGTAGAACTAGATTATTTTCCTGGAATGGAAGGTATGTGAAAGAGAAACAGCCCCATTTGGAGCAGGCATTGTCCTCTCCTTTAGCTTAGAAAGTCATTCCATATTTTCTTTTCCCTGAGAAATGTTTGAGTCAGTTAAAAACACTTAGGTATTGCTGTTTCTCTCATAAAGAAGGGCAAAAATTTCATCTGTGTGTTGTGGAGAATGTTGTATACTTACGAATGCTTAAAAGGGAACAAAACTTTTAAATGTCTCACGTGAATTGAGAGGCATGGTCATGAGTTGGTCTGCAGATGTAAAAATGAAATATGTAGCTTGTCCTGGGTTGTCCATGTGATGATAACTTGCCTCTTGTCTGGCTCGGGGACTCCTAGCTGTTAGGGCGCTCAGGGCTGACTGAGTCTGGGGTTTGAGCGTCTTCTACCACCTCTCCTTGCAGCTGAAGGCACTCAGTGCCAACCATGTGCCGACAGCACAAAGGGCCTGGTAGCAGTGGAATGCATTTGCCCGCCCACTGGTATCTATTATGGAAGAGATTTTGAGTTTAAAATCTGAACATTGTACATAAGAAATCAAGAGGTGTTTTTTGTTTTGTTTTTCCTAATAAGCTGACTTTGAGTGACAGGAATGGCTTTCTGTTCTCAGTGAGGGTCAGAGGGTTAGAGGCAGAAAGACTTGTTCCTTTTCAGGGGTCTGTCGGGTGGGGTGGGGTGCATCTTTTTTCCCACTCCATTATTGAAGTGCTGTGGTCTTCAGTTGGGAGGGGATTCTGTGCTGCTTTTGTCTCTGGCAGCTCAGTTAGGGCCCTGGCGCTGGGGTGGAGTTTGCTCCATTAGCAGTCAGCCTGGCTGGCAGGTGGAACACCTGACCTCTGAGCCTTTAGTAATCTTATTTTTTATAAGAAATACTTGTCATAATTTTCTTTTTTCACATTTTATAAGTTTGAGAATACTTTTGCATGGCTCATTGTAAACAAAAGATTCCTTATTCCTAGTGTCCATTAAAATAGAATGTTTACTGATAAGTAAATTGCTTCCTGAGCACTTAACCCGTGTGTGTGTGTGTGTGTGTGTGTGTGTGTGTGTGTGTGTGGTGTCATTTCCCCTAGGCACACTGTTGTGTTCATTTCTGCAAGTCTATGTTGGTAATTCCATCTGGGTAGTGGATGGTTTGCAATATTGGAAGGTTCCAAGGGTCCCAGGGACTCAACTAACTGGTGGAGAAGGCATTTTCCCAGTTAAGTGATAATATTCAAGGAGAACATGATTTTATTGTATGCTTTTCTAAAAGCCCCACACAAAAATAGAAGCATACCCATGAGGGGTAGTATCATTTGCAATCAGGAGGAAGTTCTAAGAGGTTACATGGGCTGTCTCCAGGCCCACGTGAGACTGGCACACACAGGGTGAGTGTTCTCAAAAGTGCTGAGTTGGAGGAAGTTTTGCATCTCTTGACCTCCATTTATATCAGCTATATGAACACTTTTCTTCCCGATAATTAAATTTTTTCCCTTTTTTAAGGTTGAATTGAGAGACTATCAGATACTTCTGTATTGTGGAAATCTTTCCAGTTTTGAAACTATCAGGGCATCAGGTATCAGATCTATGAAATGTAGATAATACCTACCAGGTAAGAATCTAGTCTTACTAATGGTAATAAAACTGTCATAGGTTGCATTCTGTTCTAGTAAAACTAATTAAAGAAATAATACTTGGGTCAGTAATCTGTTACAGAGCTGCATAGTTTGGTATCCTAAGTATATTGTGGAACATTCCAAGGACTTTTGTTTTTTATAGGTGTGACATTTCTGATTTGAGAGATCTTCAGTTGAATTAATTGTTCTTTGAGAAGTTGAGACAGACAAGCAAAAGACCTCGTTCTTGTAGATGTGGGCATCATTATGGATATTTAAAACTTTTTTATTCTCTACCTTCTCCCCTGAGGCTTGGGAGTTGTCTTCTTCAGCTGTGTAGCTGCTGCTGCTCTCAGCTCATAGAAATGTAGTTTGGAGCTGGTTGGAGGCTGAGTGAGTGTTGTAAAGCCAGCCCATTTTGTGCTCCCTGACTCAGAAGTGAGGGCACCCTCAGGGCCAGGGCCAGTCATGTTAAGACGCTTGCAAGTGCTTCCAGAACTTTTTATGTATGTTTTGGACCACCTTCCAAGAATGTTCTTGTTGGTATGGTTATGGCCTACCAGTTGCTATTCTGTGAAATCCTTTCCTGAGTGCTATGCAAATGTGTTTTTAGGTGGCAGGGACCTGGGTTGGGCTTCAGGCTGCTGTCTAGGTACCCGGTGCATTGCTCCATCTGATGGTGTCATCCTGCTGTGACAGGCGACTAGGAAGCAATTTGCAAGTTTTCTTGGAAGACATGTCAATGAAAGGACATACATTCTTAGGCAGTTTGGAATGCACTGACATCCAGCAGCTTTGTCCTTTTCATGGGCTTTCATGACCCAGTTGTATAAATGTTGGGCTACTTTGCAAAGGAAATCCAGACTTCACCTGTCTTTTTTTGAACATTTAGATACAGTATTACTGTGACCAATTGGGCCACCTTCTCTCATCTGGCAGCTGACAGTTGGCTGCTCCAATTGTAGTTCGCCTGGCACTGCCTGGGCAGCACAGCACCTCCCCTGGGTGCAGCAGCAGGTGGGGCAGCCACTGGTCCTTCTCTCTGGTGCTTTCTAAGGGGGTCTGGTAGGAATGTGGTTGGCTTAGGGAGGGCATACCTCCCAGGTCTGTGTGTATATTTCAGCTGCTTACTGTTCCGCCTGAGCTTCTCGAAGGCTGTCAGACTTCTGAGCGGACTGGAGGTGGTGGGTGGCATGGTCTTGGTATAAACTGGGAAGTTGATCTTGCATGTTTTAAGGGTTGTCTCTCTTCCTGACTGAGTTCATTTGAAGAATGGAAAACCTGTGGGATAACCTTGCTTTAGTCCATAGGACTAACAGTTTAGTCATTTGGGATGATGAGACAGAGGAGCATATCTATCCAGGGAGCTCTGACGCACTTCAGGAGGGTGGGCTGTCCCAGATCAGCACAGCAGGCAGCTCCCTGGGCAGGGTGTAGCATGGGCCCTCATGCAGGCTGGTGGGCAGTAACAGATGAGTGGGCCAGATCAGAGACTGTGCTCCTGGCGGGTTGTGGTGATGGCAGCTTGGAGGAAAGGCCCCAAGGAACTGCATGGGCTGTGGCCGGATAGAAAATGGGTCCTTTTTTTTTTTTAATGATTTTTAAATACTGTTTTTTACACTGTTCTCTTGGTACTTTTTTAAAGCTTAAGTCGGCATTGTCTTCCAGTGTTAAAGGCATCCCTCACCTCTGCATTGAACTTACATGTCAATATAAAGGAATGGACCATCCATTCTGAGCCAGTTCAATTAGGTGTAAATTCATACTATTTTAATTTTTTATGCAATCTGATGAGTAGATGAGCTCAGATTTAAAATTCTTAAAGGCACGTTTATTGTAACAAATTGTTATGTATTAATACTGCAGTTTTCAATAAAGGTTGACTTGTGTTGCATATTGTGTTTTTCATGATTTTTTTCCATGTGGGTTTTGTCCAGATATAATTTGGTTTGATTGGGAGGTACTGTAGCTTCTTGCAAATTAGGAGATTGCCAGGGGTTTGGGGGAACAAGCTGTTATGGTATTCAGCCCCAAGGACCTTGGCTATGTTAGGGGGTGCTGTGGAAGCAGTGGGGTTTATGTATGGGGGTTGGGGGCCGTTTGTCCATGGGAACACAGAGGGAAGCAGCCTCAGGCTTCTCTCCTGGCTTTTGTGGCTGGGGTCTTCCTGGGAAAGACTCTTCCCATTCAGCAGGGAGGATGTTGAGGCCCAGAAAAACAAAATTTACATTCGGCAGTTCCAGCAAAAAAACTGGGAGCAATGAGGAAGGGAGGCAGTCTCTAGGCTGTAGGGACCAGGGCAGGGAGGAAGGGTGTAAGCTGTGCCCCACTCTTGGCCAGCTCTAGGGGCTGCAGTCCTCTTCACTCCCTTGCTTCTAGGCTCAGTCCTCCCCTTAGTAAAGGCTAGGGGACATGCTGCATAGCAGGCAAGCAAAGATGGGTATGTACGTGGAAGAAAATGCACACACACACCAACAGAGAACAAGGGCTGGCAATCAGGTTACTGTTCCCAAGTTTCTTTATGAAGTTAACGTGGTTACTGGCTTGGAGAAGGCATAGTGCAAGAGTGCTGCTGAGTCCTGTGGGTGCCATGCCAACACGAGGATGTGGGCATCCCACTGTAAGACTGCTACTTGGGCTGGGTGCGTCAGTCCTGGGTCCTGGGCCACAGAATTCAGTTCTTAGGGCTTCTCATGCTCACTAGGGTAAGGCTTTCTGTGTCACTAACAAAAGTTATTTTTCTGTGTTTAGAAAAACAATACAACAACATCCAAACAAAACAGACTGATTCTGCAGCCACCTCACAGCTATAGGTGAAGTGGTCACATGAATATCCTTATGTGGCTAACTGTTTGGTTTTGTTCTCACAACACACACCCAACATTACATGTAAAGAGGTATCCAGCAGCCAGCAGCGTCTAGAGGGGCTGGGAGGCAGAAGGGCAGCTCTGGGCCAGACATTTGGGGCAGAGAATTCCTGATTCCTGCCTTCTGAGGTTGCAAGTGGCCTGGCCCTGTCCACTGGGTTAGGGGTCTGAAAGAACTGGAGAGCAGAGGGACACACAATCTGGGTTGCAGGAGGCTGGTGGCCATAGGGTAAGCCTCTCCTGCCCAGAGATAGGCTTAGGGATGATTAGATTTCTGAAGAGTCCGGAGTGGCCAGCGCCTTCTGCAGGGCAGCCTGTATGACGGTCTGAGCTATGGTTCCCCAGCTTCAGAGTGCAAGCAGAGCGGGATGGGTGGTGGGCAGGCTGCAGGAGGTGCAGGTTGTGCGTTCAGGAGCCCTGCCTCTCTCTTCCACCTGGTCTCTTCACTGCCTCATCACTGCACCAGCAAGGATGAAATCCAAGAGGGGAACAGACCTGGCACTGCCTGGGGACACCAAACAACTCCTTTGCTTAGCCCTGTTCACTCCCAGTTTGCAAAACAGGCAGAGAAGGGCCAGGTGTGGGCCTCGGGGAGGCAAAGCTGGGGGCTGAGGGTGAAGAGGTCCACAAAGTGCTGTCAAGTGAGTGCTGGCTCATTTGCGGAAGGGTGCCAGTCTGCTAATGCTGTGCCAGAAAGTGGATGGTTTCCGCCGGGGCTCTGCCAGTACCAAGACCTGCTGTCGGGGCCGGCTGATGGGCAGTGTTGGGTGCTTCTGGCGTGTCAGGTAGCAGGGCCTCCCGACAGCTGGGCAGGGAGAAACAGAGTCATGGGTATCTTGTGGCACAGGACAGAGGTGCCCACTGCAGGGGTCTGCAGGGATACCCCCACCCCCATTTGTGGTGGTTTTGCTGCACAGTACTTGTTTCCCCAGGGCCTGACCATATCTTGGAGCCTCTGACCTGGGCCTGGCTTAACTTCAGTCTGAAGAGGGGATGGTGAGTGGCCGTGTCCAAGTTATGTGACACTTGGCTCTCATCTGTAGAAACAGGATGCATGCCTTCCTGGACAGCTGTGACAGTGCTTGTCCACCTGGGGAAGTAAGCACTGTCACTAATGGTGCCATTCTGGGGAGGTCACAGAGGCCAACAGCAAGAATAGCTGTAAACTGACCTAGTCTTTGTCACTGGTGGCTCCTTATCGCCAGCCTTTGGAACACACCTGGAGAGGGCAGTGGGGACCTCTGAGGACCCAGGGGTCTAGTGGCTTTGCTTTAGGGGTCAGAGGGGAATGTAATCAGTCCAGGTCTGCCCAAGCTGGAACTGCCAGCCACTTACCTTTGGGCTTCCCTGTGGCCTGCTGTTTGTTGGCATTCAGCATGGCCTGCTTCCTCTGCATCTCAGTGATGGAGAAACCTGGGGAGAGGGTACACACAAGATCCCCTTCATCCTTCCTTGGCCACATGCTTCCATAAGCTGTTTTGGGGCCCCAGTTGTCGTCCCACGGTGCCGGGCTGGCCATTCCCCAGCCTGCTTAGTCAGTCTGCTCTGCTAGGCCGGAGGATGGAGCCCCTTGAGACCACCCCCCTGTGCCTTCCATCTCAGCTCAGCCCCATGCACCCCCTCCCACTTGCCCAACGTCTAGTTTCTTTTCCTCTCTGGAGCAGTGGAGGCTCTCCCTAGTCACAAGCTGACCTAGTCACTGCTGAGTGTAATGCCAGGGCCTACGAACAGGAGAGAGGCACTGGGGAGAAGCCTGCTTACGTGGGGCAGGGGGTGTTCTGGAAGCTGGTACCCACCTCCCAGGGCTTGAGCTGCCCGGGGAGGGCTTCCCCGTCTCTGAGCAGTGTTCCGGTGTGTCTGTGGGAGCCTGTGGTTCCCAGCCTAGCCAGCGGACTATGTCCTGGAGAAGGGCCATTTCTGCTGGTGAGGTGAGGATGGCAGTGCCTGTGCTTACTGCTAGGACCAAGAGGCTCTTGGGGCCTCGGCAAAGCTTGAGGGCTTGGGTCTGAGATGCACTCTCATTGCTTCATGATGGTCCTGACTTGCCTGGCAGCCTGGCAGGTCTGGGTGGGCCAGAATGGGGCAGGGCCTAGCAAGATTTCGCACCTGTCTCCTGGTCCAGCCGCACCTGCTCCCTCTCCCTGGAGAATGCCTTGAGCCAGCGCTGCTTCTGCTCAGCCTTCTTGGCACACAGTAGGTGGCTGTCCCCCGAGATGCTGCAGTGCAGACGGAAGGCGTTCTTGATGTTCACATGGAGGTCTCGGTCCTTCCCATCCTCTAGGTCCACCACCTCCAGGCCGTCCATGTCCAGCCTGCCCTTGTAGTACAGCACGTCTCGGCGGAGTAGGTCCTGCCAGATGCCATCCTGAGTCCTGGTTCTTATCTGCTGCCTGTATCCTGGGCCCATCACCCTCTGCCCAGCCCCTTCCCCAGTCATCAGGTGCTGACCCTGGTGCTACCCAGGATGGCCAGCTGCCCTCTCTGAGGTGTGTGGTCTGGTGAGGTAACAGCCACAGAAACTAAGGCAGCACCCCATACATAATAGCAGAGAAGAGTACAGTGGACAAGTAAGGCTTCCAGTATGGGTCCTCTGGGCCACATTTGAAAGAAGCAGAAGCTAGAGGAAGACGAGATGGGTGCAGCAGAGGACCTCAGGGCTGGCAAAGGGAAGCAGAGGCTTACAAGGGAGGCAGCAACTTCAGAAGCAGGCAGGGGATAGTTCAGGAATGAGGGTGTCCACAACTAGGCCTGGACACACCTGGAAAGAGCTACCCTCACATCATCCCAGGCCTAAGGCGTCCCAGGAACGGCTGTGTAGGGTCTGGCAGGCTCCTTTACTTTGGGAAGTTGTCCCCATGCCTTAGCTTCAGTCCCTCCACCTGTCTTAATTGGGGCTGGCCCAGCAGGTCAGCAACTGGTACCTTCTTACAGTAGATGAGCTGGTGGTCAAAGAGAAAAAACATTCTCTGCTGGCTCTTGGCTTGAGGCTGTGTAACACGAGTCAGCTCCCCCGAGTAGATGAGTTCCGAGCTCCTAACCAAGAGATCTTCCCCCTGAGGGACCCCAAGGAAAATCATGAGCTGAGAACACCCAACCTTGGGCTCTACACTCTGCCTTCACTGTGGTGGGCTGAGTAGTGCCTTCCCCTGCAGGCGGCCTTCCTTGACTGAGTCCAGTGGAAGGGACATTCTGGAAGCCCAGGAAGTCCTCTGGGTCCTGAAGGGGGAGGAGAGATGAGTGGGTTTGACTGGGGTTGGCTGGCCTTGCAAACTGGACCTACTGTAGTCTGTGGCTCTTGAAGAGTGGAAGTGTGTCCACTCCATATTGAGATGCAGTGCTAGGGTAAAATACACACTGACTGAAGATTTAGTGTGAAACAATGTAAAATACCTCATGAATCATATTTTATGCTGAGTGTAAGTTGAAATGATTGGATATATTATTGAGTCAAAACATTGTAACAGTCACTTTCACCTGTTTTTGTTTTCCTTTGTTAAGATAGTGGTAGAAGTATAGAAGTCTGTATATTGCTCACATGATCTTTTTTTTGGTATCGGGGATTGAACTTGGGACCTTGCGCTTTTGAGGCAGGTGGTGGTGGCATCATTGAGCTAAATCCCTGGGCCTCGCATGATCTTTTGATTGGACAGTGCTGCTCTAAAGAAAAATTGAGCTGAAATTCACCTCTGGAGTCTAATAGAGGTCTTAAGGAAGCTGTTCTCCCAGCTTAAATATATTTTAGGACCTGAGTTCTACCATCAGAGTTTCAAAGTTTCAGACTAAGCCCTGTGCCTGGGGCTGCTGGCAGCCATCCAGTTGGGATGACTGAGCTCATACAGGTCCTTAGCCTGGGCTGGGCCTCAGAACCAGTAGACCATGCTGTCAAGTCCCACCGCAGGGATGCGGACTTATTGTCAAGGGTCGAGCCCAGGAATGTATTTTTATAGTGGTCTGTGGCTGATTATGATTGATTTTCAGGTAATTTCCTTTCATGACATCTTCTACAGTACTTGACAGTGGCACCATGTGGATCTGGAGCCTCACAAGGAGGCATATTGGTAGGTGGTAGAGGGGCAGAGTCCCCTGTCCCTGGAGAACAGGAATGTCATCATTAGCTCATGGCTTGGTGTTGCCTTAGAAAGATACATAGGGAATGGGCAAGCCAGAAAATCAGAGTCAGGAGGCAGTCCATTTTTGGTTATGTTGATGGGCAGAACCCTAGTGTTAGGAGTACCAGAAGTTGACTGAATCCCGGGGATCGAGCTTGTCCCTGAGGGCAGAGGAACAGACTGATGCTTCTGAGAAACATCCTTCCTCTGTTAGAGGATGGATGGCAGCTGGTGGGAAAGAATATCGAATCTCACACAGGCCAGAAGGCCACCAGTGCCCAAGTCTGGCTCTGGGAGGTAGCACCAAAGTCCCCACAACTGCACATAAGAACCTGCTTTTTCACCATGAGTATCCGCTAGCTCCCAGGAGCCTGGCTCTCTGCTTCTGCTCCCTCCTAGACTTTTCAGAGGTGAGCACAGTTTTCAGGCCAGGACCCCATGGTATTTTCTAGGCTCTGAGGCCCTCACCTCCCAGTCCTCTATGGAGCTCTGCCACTGAGCAATCTTGTCGATGTTTTCAAGTCTCCGTTTCCGTTCATTGATGAGCTGGGCCACATTCTTCATGGCATGCAAGGCAGCTTCAACATCCTTGAAGTCCCTGGGCAGAACAGAGATGGAAGGGTGCTGTAGTCTGGTGAGTAGAGAGCTGTAGGTGTCTCCTGAAGCCTGCCTGGTAGGGCTCCCTCTGGGGCTGTGCCTCTTGACCAGAAATGCCAGGTATAGCACAGAGCTCTCTAACCTATCGATGTCTCCTCCCCCATTATAGTGCCAGCTTGGGGGTGGGGCCCTGTGACTACAGCAGTACCTGGAACACTGCAAATGGTCAAAAGCTGGACGGAAGAGTGCAGGGCCCCAGCACCTCATACCTGTGTTGGGGGGGTGTGTATTTAAGCAGCTCGGCCAGCTGCAAGGGGTACTTGCAGATCTTCTGCACTGGTGTCAGCAGGAAGCCATCCAAAGAGATATCAATCATCTTCTGCAGCAGTCGGCAGGCCTCAAAGAAGTACACATATTTGCTGAGTTTGGTGAGCCTTGAGAGCTCCACACAGGCGTTGGGGTGGTTGTTGCAGTATTCGGAGTAGATCTGGAAGTCTCCTTGCTGGGTGGTAGAGGGAACAGTTGTGGGTTAAGGTAGCTGTCTCCACTTCCCAGGCAACTGGCTACCCATCTGGGAGAGCCAAGGCCTCTGTATTCCATTCAGGAGCCAGGCTCAGGGACCCAAGCTCCACGTACCTAGTTGGTGATGGGGCATGAGCTACGTGGAGTCACCCACAGATGGGAAAACCTTGGAGGACATGTGTGCCCACTCTGTTGCTCCCAACTTTATCAGTAAGGCCCTTAGATATTTGAACTGTGTCAATTTACAAAAAAATGAAATCAGTGGTGCTAGTAAGGCAGGGCTGTCAAGGCCAGAAGGCAATAGTGGTCAGGGATGGACGAGATATGCTTTGCTCAGCCCCACTCAGCTGTGCCTGCCCTGTCATGCGAGAGTGAAAGGAGTGCCAGGTAGACCAGCCAGGCAGTGGAAACTGGTATAGCACCACTTGCACCCTGAGTGGATGTTGGCTGTAAATGCCACACAAATTTCAGTTTGCCCACTGTGTAAAGAACCCTAGAATCTAATGCAACAGATCCCAGCTCTCAACAGGTGGTCCAGCCCTTATTCCCTCTTCTCTGCCCAAAGCAGATCCCTCCTAGGCTAATGTCCAAGACTTCTGCTCCTGAGAGCCTTCCCTGACTTGCTTCGCCCCCAGAAGCAGGAGACCCTCCTGAAACTGCTGAGGGCAGCTGGGAAGGCAGAAGGTGCACAGAGATGTTTGGAAGTTTCTGGGAAGGGAGTAGCAAGTGGCTTGGGATGCAGCAGGGAGCCAAGAGCAAAGGGGCGCGAGAATAAGCAGGGGTTGGGGTGAGTGGGGAAGAGGGCAGGGCCCCAGCAGACAGATGAGACTGGCAGGCAGGCTTAGGAGTCCACGTGGGGAGCCAGTGCTCACATGCTCCAGGAAGCAGGCGCCCAGCTCGCTCAAGTGTGGGCGCTCACTGTTGAACTTCTGCTCCAGGGCCTTCACGAATGCCTTCTGGCAGCAGTAGATGTCCTCGATGTTGCCGAAGATGGTGCGCAGCTGTTCCTCACTGAACATGTCTGCCCGTTTTCGGCACTGCCTGATGTAGCCCTGAGGGTGAGGTGTGGTCAGGGCTCAGGGCTCAGGGCTCACTCCACCCTGCCATGGCTTAGCTGGGCAGGGCCTCCCCTCACCTCACAGATGTCTCGCAGGTGCTTGATATAGTCCCGCTCAGTACTGAGGATCTCGTTGATGACATTGGTCCGCATCTGGTCCTTGCTGCTCTGTGCCTCGGCTCCACCGTCCTCTGCCTCGCCATTGCAGCCCCTCGGGGCCTCGTCTTCTGTGGGCTCATCTTGGTTCACCCGCAGCTGCAGGCAATAGGAGGCCAGTCAGCCCTACAACCCTGCACACTGCACAGTGGCTGTGCGGAGCTGAGGCTGGGCCACCCAAGGGGAACATAGTGGCCTAGGGTGCTCCCTGCAGCTGCATCACAGCTTGTACAGGGTGGGCAGTGGGACAGTGCCTTATGTCACCGCTGTTCATAGACCACCCTGGCCCCCTTGGCAGGCCCCAGGTTCCCTGCTTTCTGTAGCCTTTGCTTATGTTCAACATGGTCCCTGGAACACGTGCTAGGACTTTCAGAACCACAGTCTGCTCATACTGGACCACCTAGGGGCTGTGGTGCCGGGGCATGGTGGCATGGTCTTGCTGCTCTCTAACCTGTAAATTCAGGAAAAGGCTTGGGGACTGGAGGGGACAGTTTACCCAGGAAGCCTGGGGCAGGAGAAACAGCTGAATGCCAGGGTCTGGGCTCTCCCTGCCAGCTGCCCCAGTCTGGCCTTTTGGAGACTGAGCACCTTAGGTGGGACCTGGGTCCTCTCCCTGTGAACGCCTCGGTTGATGACTTTACTTGTGTGTGTCTCAGCTTTCCCAGAGTCCCACCACCTCCCAGGGGTGTGTGGGTGTTAACCAAGATGGCATCTGTTCATGGTGTGTGGTACTCTCACATACACCACTCTACTTGGCAGGTGTTATCTGCCTCCACAGTCACTTGGACTGTTCCCTCTGGCCTAAGAGCTCTCCAGGAGGAGGATGGGTCAGGGGATGGAGGAGGTGCTGGTGGCTCTGTGGGAGGAAGAAAGCTATGTCATAGTTCTGGGACACCCACCCATGCAGCCCAAGGCACCAGGTCCCAGCACTGTGGAGAGGGTGAGGTCCATGCCCAGAACCTGGGACTCCAGAGCTATTCTGAGCATAGATTTCCCCAGGTGGCTCCTTTTGAGCCTGGGACCATACCCTCACGAAGTTGGCTGGAAACCACCCCTCGCCATCGGTGACACGGCCCCACCACCACTCTCTGTTGGTGGCATCCATCACTTCAATGACGTCCCCAGCTTTGAAGCCCAGCTCCTGGTCGTCCATGGTGACATGGTCCCAGAGTGCTTCAGCACAGACCACACTGCCATCGCTGATGAGCTGTGGAGAGAGCCACAGCAGGTGGGTCAGTGGGGCAAGGTTGCCCTGGGCTTCAGGTTGAGGCCCTCCTTGCCCTCTGTCCCTACCTTCAGCAACCCTGGGAAGAGGGGATCTTGACACACTTCACAGAGGGGCTGACAGGTTTCCTCCTAGCCAGCAGCTATTTTGGAGCACAGCTGTGCCCTGGGCACGTCTAGACTGTCCAGAGCACAGTGATGGAGTTTGAGGCGGACTTGACCTAGACTCTTGACTATCCTCAAGTCCCTCCCTCAGAGCTAGGCCACTCCTTCCTCACTCCTGACTGAGCCCCTTAGCTTTCAAATCTGGGTACTAATGCCTCTGCTCAAATCACTGATAAACTTCCCTTTGTAGTGTACTGGCTTGAGCCTGCTCCTCCTTGGCCCTCTTCGGCAGCCCTTGCACCTGGAACTCTGTTTCTGATTGGGCTGTCAGCTGCTTTCCTGTAATGTGGGCTCCTTTCCTGCTCCAGTGGTTTCAGGACAGGAGAAAAGGGGTGGGCTGAGAGCTGCAAATACCCCTCTCTGATGAGACTGAGTGTTGGAGCTGCCTGTCCCAGCCACCAACCTGGCACAGCAGTCAGCCAGTGATCTGTGTGTCACTTGGCAGGCACTCCACCGAGTTGCCTCTACACCTTGTGAGCTCTCCATCCCTGATTTCCCTGGGTGCTCCTAGGGCAGTGTACATGCAAATCCTCACATCGACACAGAGGCTGAGAGCAGGGCTGCACTTCAGGTGGGACTGCTTGAGCCTCCATCTCAGACCCAGTTGCTACCTAAGAGGCTTCTGTGCTCATGTGGCAGGGTAAGGGGCCAGGGCTTTCCTCCACAAAGGTTTGGGAAGGCCCAATCACTGGCTCTTACTCTTTCCTAAGGGCGACAACTACTCTAAACAAGTCTGTGTGCATGTGTATACTCATGGTTTGGTGGCTTTTTAGAAGTCCAGACAGGTACCCTGGGCACAGAGCACTGGAATATGCCCAGGAGAAGCAGACCTTGGACCTCTGTCCTCACTCCCAGCTATGATGACAACCTGCAGGTGGTCACATGGCCACACCGATGAGATGAACCAGGAGGATTCAGCTAGACCATGTGAGAGGGTCCAGCCTGCTGTACCTATGGAGCTGACACACCTCCCCCAGCAGGCTGCCATGTGAGGCACTGAAGGATGTGGCTCAAGAGAAAGGAGGTGGGCCCTCCTGGTGGTGTGGGTGAGCCAATGAGAACGTGCAAGGAACCACATTGATACAGGGTCTGTAAGCACAGGCACAGATCTGGGGGAAGGAAGTCACACACTCAGCCCAGCAGGGCTGCCCACTGACTCGTCCTAGATGGATCCTGCTGTATATTAATCAGGTGGAGCATCTCCCTCTGATCCCTGATTCATTCAACAAGTCCCTCTAGCCTGGTGCTCTGCTGCCATCCCGCTGTGCTGCAGTCCTCCAGGGGCCATTTCCTACACAGCTGCTGGGGAAGCAATGGAAGGTGTGGGCCAGGAGGCAGGGCTTCACAGGGACCAGGTTCTGGGTGCCGTCAGGGACAAGTTCCCAGGCTGTCTTGCTGAGTCACCTGGAAGCCCTTGAGGTGGAGATAGGAAGGAGGTGTTTGTCACCTTTGTTGTGTCCTTGTCCTGGAACCATGCATGGCCCAGAAGATACCAGATACACACATAGCCACGAGCAAGTTCTCTGACCTCCCTGTGTCTCCCATTCCTGACTCAGTAGTAGCAACAACTACCTGTGATGTCACCATAATGCTTCAGGAGATAGAGACACATTTCCTAAGACATCAGAAACTGCTTCACCTGCACAGGAACTGGGCAGGCTTCCTGGCAGAGGCTTCTCCTGGTGCTCTATCTTGGGTGCAGCTGCACCTTAAGCCAAGAATCAAGCCCGATAGCCTGGGATGTTTATGGGGGTAAGGTGTGGTGACTAGAGGGTTAAGGGGAAGACCGAGACAGAATCCCTCCCTGTGTCCATGGCTTTGACCAGCCCCAGGGAGGGCGAAGCTGCCAGATTGCCTCAAACCGCCCCTGATGACTGACCACTGCCACCATTCCCATTTTGCCAGCTCCTTCTTCTCTCACATGCAGGGGGCGGTGGGTCCACTAATTTAAGAATGCTAGGGTGGCCTCCACACTGGTGCAGGGAGTGTGTTCAGAGGGATCTGGCCCTAAGGAGGCTGAAATAGGGAAAGCGGCTGCGGGTAACATCCGAGGACCCTGGGCATCTCCCACAGACCTTACTCGACCCGCACAGGTGCATTCCCAGCTCTGCTCACCTTGCAGTCACATGCACAGACACATTTCCCAGCCAGCCCCAGCTGCCTCTGCATCCTCAGTTACACAAGGAAATGCGCCATACCCTTGCTCCCATGGCACAGAGGACAGACAGAAGGACCCCCGCGCACGTGTGTCACCACGCCCCGGGGGCTCCCGCATGGTGGCACCCGAGTGAGCACATGGGTGGTGGGAGGTCTCCCCTTTCCGTGCTGTGTGGGGCTGTGGGTGACAGCGGCTGGAGCTCTGGGCCACTCACCCAGCGTAGTCTCCGCTGCGTGGGCCGACAGCCAGCTCAGCGGAAGGCCAGCAGGAAGATCAGCACAACGTTGATGAGGACGAGCAACACCAGCACCAAGGAGACCACCACACGCTGGGCACCAGGGGGCAGGTTGCAACGCAGCACGGCGCGCAGGGCGCTCCCGGGCGTTGTAGGGCCGCGCCGGGGCGGCGGCACCCGAGCCATGGCGCCCGCTCCTGGCTCTGAGAGCTGAGCGCGGCCGCAGCGTTGGGGAGGGAGGGCGGAGCGCACGCAGCTCCTCCCGCTGGCACAGCCCGCAGCCAGAGCGTGCGCGGCGCCCAGGCGGGAGGCCATTGGGCGGGCCCTGCGTGACGGAGCGAGCCGACGCCCTCTTGGGTCCTGGAAGAGCCGGACTGATCCGGTGCATAGATAGATGGCTTTGGGGTTACTCCGGGATACCCTGGGACCTCGCCACAGGCCTTCTGGCCCGAAAGCGTGGCCCATGACTTTGGGGAGGGCTTGTCCCGGGGTTCCGATTACTAATAAGGCTGCCCTCCAGCTGCTACTTCACAGTGAATGCAGCTCTGAAGGATCAGGTCATCTGCTCACTCATAAAAGCAACCAGAAATAGTGCAGCCAGGATTTGAACCCTAGCCAGGCGGATCCATACTGAGGGTTCCTCTCTCACCGACCACGATCATCTGAGCAATGCTTTGTGCCTGTGAGCACCACCTGGCCTCTTTACTGGCTCTATAAAAACTCCTGTGTCAAACCTGCAGCAGACAGGATGTGGTTTCAGAGCTCACATGCCCGGTCTCTTCTGTCCACACAGACAGCTCAGTCATGGCCAATCCTACCCCTGTCTTGTAAGGTGAGAAAGACTACAGCTGAGAGGGCTGAACACACAGATTTCCAGGACAAGCCCAGTTCTCTGAATCCTGGGTCAGAAAGAGCGCTGCAGGGATGGGGAGGATGCCCAGAAGACATGGGGCAGAGGCAGGTATTCACATATGGGTGATAACTCTATGGTGATTGTGTGTGTGAGTGCGCACACCTGCCAGCACTATACATATGCCAATGTAGGGTGTGCACCTAGGAGTATGACCATATTGCTGAAGGCACCAGGGAACGGGGATGTCAGGTGTGTGTACATCCTTGGTACCTGTATACACACCACCCATGTGTGCCTGTGTGGGGGTACTTTGGTGGGTAAGTGTATAAACATGTGCGGATACCATGTATTTAGAGGATGATCAGGGTGTGTTCAGAGACTGTGCCTCCCTTACACCTGAAGCTTCAGCCCAATCCATCTGTCTGATGTCCTGTTCTGGCCCAGTTCTTCAAATAACCCTCAAGCTCTCAAATGTACAGGGGATCGGAAGGCATATAAGGCTCCCTGACACCTTCAAATCCCCCACCCTCTCCTCAGGTGTGGCTCAGAATTCCTGACTTGGGTCCCTGTTTCATTGGGCACCTGAGGTTCCAAAGTGACCAGCCGTCTGGGAGGGAAGGAGTCAAGGGTGTGTGACAAAACTTGAAACACAAAAAACAAAATGAAACAAACTCAGAAAGCTTGCCTTCAAAGGTCTAGGTCCTGGAAGGTTCAAACTCTGGCTCCAACCAGGGAGGAGGTAGCTCCCCTGGCTGCTCAAGTGGGGCCTGCAAATCTCCCAAGACAGGAGGACTTATGTGGAAGTGGAAGGTGTTGAGTAGGTGAGGGCTGAGCCCCTGGTGCTGTGGCTTCAGGATGACAGTGGAGGGAAGAGAGGAAAGCTTCTTTGGAGGTACTGGCCTCCAGGTGGCCTTGCAGTGTGGAGCAACATGGCAGCAATGTCCCAGGGGACTCTGAAATGCTCCTGCCCGTCCTAGGGAGACCTGAGCCAGGTGGCTGTCCAGCCCAGTGAGGGTGTGCATAAGGCATGTGGGACACTGACAGGCATTGGGCTCTTCCCTGGTGCTGGGAGTTGAGAGGCAGGTCAGGCCCAGGATGTCACAGGAGATTGGGGAAGACACACTCGGAGATTAAGTCAGACTGGCTCCATGGAGGCATGGTCATGGGTGGCCCTGGGTTCCATGAGGTGTAAGGAGGGAGAGCATAGCTTGAGGAGGCACATCTTCTATTCTTCAGTGACCCAGATCCGGGGTCAGCTGGAATAATTTTGCTTGCCACTACTGTGCTGGCCTCATGACTGACAGTGCTCCCTTTTTGCTTAAAGCCCAGCTTGAATGACAGTTCTGTGGCTTTCTACTTTTATCTGTCTGCCTTCTAGTTGGTCTTCATCTGCTCTCAGCAGGATGGTCCAGAAGTTGCCTTGGTCCCCTGCTCACTGTCGTGGAGGTGCACAGAGGGGACCCTAACACCTTAAGGCCCTGAGAGCCATGTGAGGAGCAGATAGACCCAAGAGGAACCTGCAGCTGTGGCCTGGCTGGTGTCCACAGGTGTCGGGAGACCCATTTTCTCCATTGGGAGCCATGCCTACCTCTCCCCTGACCATTGAATGCACCAGTAGCACTAACATCGCCACAAGGCCAGGGTGTTGTGGAAAAAAGTCTTCCAAAGACTGACAGGCACCTCCTACTTCAGCCTTATCCTCTCAGAAAAAGCCCTCGGGCTGAGAATGACCTCAGGATGGATGACAGGAAAGACAGTCCAGCCTAGTAAAGTCAGATGGGAAGGGAGGATCAGACAGGCCCATGCCAAGCCATAGGCATCTGGGGCAGACTGGAGGGGAAGATGCTAGAAGAGAAAAGTACTTGTGGGCACTGAGGATGATCAACTTCTGCATTTGTTAATTCACCTGGCATGGTCTGGATAATATGGAGAGCCAGGCACAAGTATGCATGAGGAACAGAGAAAGAGTAAGGCCCTGTACCTCCTTCCCACCCTTCTCAAGGCACACAGAGGAAGACAGGTGCCTCACACAATCCTGCTCCTGGATGGCCTGCTCTCAGCAGGCAGGACAGTCTTGCATATATGCATCCTATGGTCTGAGACACTGCCTGGCACCTAGCAGTACTTAGTACACGTTACATCTGTGCAACATGCACAACCATGCATCACAACCACAATCTTCATGTGTAACATGTACACACCTATATACATGCATGTAAATACTACACTCACTCCTTTGGCACTCAGATTTGAAACCATCTCCCCAGGTCAGATGGTTTGGGTTTCCCATGTATCACAATTTGAACAAAACACTCATGTCTTCCTAGAAAATACAAAGGAGTGTGTAATTTAGAGCAAGCCAAATCCTCCAGGGCTGGTTGCTTCAATAACTTCTGTGTTTGGTAATTGTTGATTGTTGCTTCTTTTGGAGCTCAGAGGCAGCAGTGAGTGCCCACAGGGTGAGAAGCAGCTGCCCTAGGTGAGGGAACTGGTGATAATTGGACAATTACTCCTGCATCTTTTAGTTTCTGGTATGTAGGATCAGGACAGACACCACCTTTCCTGAGCCCCCAGTACAAGCCAGCCAGCCAAGCCCCTGTAACCTTGCAGTGAGAGCAGGCCTTCCTGCACCTAGGCCCCCACACCAACCTGCCCTTCCTCCTGCCTCTTTCAGAACCCCACTTCTTGGCTTTTCTGCATCAGGCTCTAGAGGCTCTGTGATTCTCATGGGTGCATATTCCAGTGGACACCCCTGAGTCAGGAGCCAGTCTCCATCCTGTGTTTCTCCTCTGGGCTGTGGCATGTCTTTCCTCCTAAGGGTGTAGTGAGTTCCAGGGAAGCCAAGTGGCCTGGAAAGTATTGAGTGCTCTAAATAGAAGTACACCCAGGAAGCTCCAATGCCAAGAAGACCAAATAGGAAAGATTCTCTAGGCAGCTTGAGAAGATGCTTATATAATTCCCATCAACATTACCTGCATTTCCCTCTTAGAAGGACCTCTGCCCTCTTAGAGTCTCTTCTTTCAGAGCTGGCTCTTGGCCTTCCCTGGCCAGAGCTTCTTAGAATCAATAACTTGCCAAGAACCCTAGGGCCCAAGAAGGCACCTTTTCACCAGCAGCCAGAAATTTCATCACCAGTTAGGTGACAAAGCCATGTAACACAGACAGGAGAACTACCAGTGTAGCATGGAAGGCTGCTCAGGTAACTGGCCCCTCCACAGCCCTCCCTGCACAGCTTTCTATGCTTTTGCTGTTCTTCATTATCACCCTCCCTGTTACCAGAGATCTGCTGAGAACCTGCCATGCAGAGAATCTGGTTAAGTAAACCAGTGCTCTGATGGCTACATGCTCAGCACTCCACACACCCATGTGTGACAGGCCTCAGTGCCTGTCCTCCCCTTCCAAAAAGCCTGCACCTTCAGGGCACAGCACAACCATTACCTGTGAATTCTGCATACAATGAAGATGTCATTTCAGAACACCTCCATCCATAATAGCTTATGAGAGGCAATTAAAGATAAAGGCTGGGAGCTGAGAGTGCAGCTCAATGGAAGAGCATGCACCTAGCATGACCAAGGCCCTGGGTTCAGTCCCCAGCACCACACAAACACACCACACAAGAAAGGTTTTGTTAGAAAAAAACTTACTTGCACATTTATTCTCTACAGTTCATGGATTTCACATGAAGTATTATCACTATTATTGTTGTTGTTATGACTATTTTGTAGTCTAGGGATTGAACCCAGGGCATCTGTACTGAGCTACATCCCCAGCTCTTTTTTTCTTTTGTGGCAGGGTCTTGCTAAGTTACTAAGTTGGCTGGTCTGGGAACCAACTTGCGATCTTCCTTCCTCAGCCTGCCAGAGTTCAGGTGTGTACCACCAGGCCCAGCATAAAGTATTACTTGATGACTGTTTAACTCATTATAGAGAGCCAGGCATCTAAGTGAGTTTATCTGGCATCCAGCCCACTACTCAGTTATGTGGATAAAGAAGGCACCATACCCTGTACTTGTTCCAGAGAAGTCTACTAGAATGCTCATTCACAGAGGAGTCAATCTGTAAATAGATTCCCTTTGAGAAAAAAAATCTGAGTCCTATGGATCCTGGTTCTGATGAAGCAGAAAGGCACCAGATCTCATGGCCAGAGGAACGTGGTGTTGCTATGGGCATGTGCTTGTGCTGAACATTTGGTTAAGTACCATTCAGTTATGTTCCACCACCCCCTCAAAACTAAATAAAGGAGAGTAAGAAAAACAGGAGCAAGAATGAGAAAAGAGACAGTCAAAGCTTCAAAATTTCTGTGTCCTAAGAAAGGACTGTGAACAGGCACAGAGTACAGCTAAGTAGAAGGAATAATATTTTTTTGAGACGGTCTCACTATGCAGCCCAGGGTGGCCTCTAACTGGCAGCAATCCTTCTGCCTCAGCCTCCCAAGTGCTAGGATTACAGGAGTGTGCCACCATGCCCAGCTGGAGGAATAATTTTTAATGGTCTTTAGCACTGTGGGGCAACAACTGTTACAGTTGACAACAAGTAATAGTTCAAAACAGCTAGTAGGAAGGATTTTAGATGTTTCCAACATGAAGAAATAATGCTCCAGGTGGTAAGCATGCCAACCACCTGGATCTTATATTACACACTATATACATTTACTGAAATGCCATGCTATGCCCCATAAATATATAGTTCTGTGTCAATAAAAAATTTTAAAATGCCTTCTTGGAGAGTGCAAAAAGAGAATGTGGGATGGAAACCAGTATGCCCCAGATGAGCTCCTGCACTAATTTCTTTGGCTGAGGGAGGAATAGCAAAAATCTTAACTGTCACACAGTTGTCAGAGCAACAGCAACACTTTGGGCTCTTGGAGGCCATTGCAGAGAAGTCAATTTTCACTTGTTTTGTCCCCAGTCTGCTCCCACAGCTTTTTTGAGGATCCAGATTGGAGTGACTGGGCAGCCTTTTCCTGCCAGGACACTTTGCAGGGCTGTTCCAGGAAAGCCTCGGCAGGAGGAACTGCATGATGTCACGCACCTGCACACCTGCCTCTCTATGGGCCCGGGTGGGCATGAGGAGTTCTGTGTCTGGACACACCCTGCTCTGGACACCACATCCTTAAAGTGAAAGCCATAGGCAAAGCCAGTGCCACAACATAGCGGTGCTGCAGCATGTGCCTTGAACAGCTGTCTACATCTGGTTCACATCTGCCAAACTGTGGGTCCTGCTCTGACTCCCTCTACCCACTTGGCCTTTGTCCTACCTCATTGATGGCCAGCTGCTCACCACCCCCTCCAGGGTGGCTGTAGTGGTGGCTGGAGCTGTGCAGGTCCTCGTACAGGTCCTCCTCACTGCCTGCCTCTTCTGCTCGGATGGCTGTGTCCAGGGCTCCATCTGGCATTGCTGGAAGGAGAGACAGCAGCTTTCAAAGAGGAGATGGCTTGAAAGGGTGAGAGGGAGTATGTGGGAAAGGAGCTGGATAGTTTTAGGACAAGTGTTTCTTCCGTGAGAGGAGGCAGAAGGTTGGGAGCTGGTTTCTGAGACCATCCCTGTTGTAAAAATGTGGCCTGGCTGGAAATAACCCCAGCTCACTCCACCACTACCAGTCCTCACACTCGGGACCCTGGAGCTTGGTAGACACAGAGACGAGGGGATTCACCATGGTGCATGGCCCATCCCTGTCCTCTGAACTCAGTCAGAAACTGTTTACCAGTATGTGAGCTATAGAAGGCTTCTAAGAAAAATGTTAAAATTTTGTTATGAAATATACAGTCAGCCCTTCATATCTGTGGGCCCTGCACTTGAGGATTCAACCAAACTCAAAATGAAAATATTTTTAAAAATGTGTCTGCACTGACTATGTACAGGCCTTTGTCCTGTCATTTTCCTCTAAACAATACAGTATAACCACTACTTGGATAAAATCTACATTGTACCAGGTACTATAAGTAGTAATCTGCAGGGGATTTAAAGGATATATGAAGGTTGGGCTATAACTCCTGCTTACCATGTGGAAGACTCTGCGTTCGCCAAAAACAATTAACAAACAAATAGTATACAGGAGGCTGCATGGGCTCTATTCAACTACTACACTCTTTTATATAAGAGACTTGAGCACTGTTACATTTTGGTATCCACAGGAGATCCTGGAACCAATCCCTTATAGATACCGAGGGACAACTATATGTATTTAAGTATACAGTCAAAGAAAGTATACAGCATTTACCTGCAAATATAGTTTGAAATAGAAAAGGAAGAGTTTTGCTGGTATGCTTAAGAAAACACCATAATCTTAGATTTCTCTCTCCTCTATGCCACTCTAATCCCATTCCTCTCTCTCCTTTAGAGATATTCAATAGGTGGAACTTTTTATAAATCATTCCCATGCTTGTTTTTGTTTCAGCGTTTATTTCTGAGTTTTGCCTGGTTTTGACCATCTGTAGCAATTTCTCCCTGATTCTTTTCACTCCATGGCTTGTGTAGTTGTGATGGATTCATTCTTACTGAGGCACGGTCTTGTGTTTGATGAATATTTCACATGTAGTAGTAGACTGGCTGTACTGCAGAAGGTGGGTTGTTTCCCACTCTGTCTCTGATATGAACGATACTGCTGTGGACACGTCTACACACTGCCTGAGACATATGTAGGGGTTTCTTTAGGATAGTATTTCTCAACCTTCTCATTACCCTCCCTAAAAGCCTTTTACACATTATTTCCCTAATCACTCCCAACTCCCATTAAATGCTAATAGCAACATACCTGTGTATTGCTCATGTAATGTGGCTCTTTGGAAGGCAACAAACCATTTTAACAGTTAAAGTTTTTGCTCTGGAGAAAGCATACCCCTGGTGTGAATTCATGCCCTAAGGTACAGACACCTAGGTGTGGCATCACTGGTTCTTAGGTCCTGTGTAGGTCTAGTGCTGTTATAGAGTTATTCTGCCAAGTCAGGCTCCCAGGAGCAATGCTTCAGTGTTCCCACTGCTCTGTGTCCTGGCCACCGCATGGGATGGGCATGGTCATGGTGTGAAGTGGTACATGTCTGGGTTAAACATCTTCTCTACATTTATGTATCATTTATATTTCCTTTAATGTGAAATGTCTGTAAGTTTACCCATTTTATTGATTTATCTTTAACATATTATTGATATAAAAATGTATATATGTGTATAAGTGTGGACTTTTTTTTTGTACCAGGGATTGAACTGGGGTCCTTGTGCTTGTGCAGCAGGCAGCAAAACCACTGAGCTAAATCCCCAGCCCAATATGTGTATAGATGTATATGCAAACAAATTCCTTCTCATTCTGTCACTCATATGTATAACAACTATCTTCTCCCAGTTTGTGGCTTAATTTGTTCTCTTCAGGGTGACTTTTGATGGACAGAAGTTCTTAATTTTAATATAGACAAATTTGTCAATTTTGTCCTATGTGATTTACATTTGGATATATGCTTTTTTCCAATTACTAGCTATTATGAATACAATTGCTCTGAATATTCACAAGCAGGGTTTGGTGTGGACAAATGTTTTCACTTATCTGGGATAAAGGCCCCAAATGCAATTGCTGGGTTATATGGTAGTTAAATATCTAGCTTATAAAAAATTGCCTGATGAAGGCAGACATGGCAGCACATGCCTTTAATCCCAGCACTCCTGGAGGATGACAAGTTTCAGCCAAGCCTGGGCAACTTAGAGAGACCTTGTCTCAAAATAAAAAATAAAAAAGGGGTTGGAGATGTAGCTCAGTGTGAAGGCCCTGGGTTCAGTCCCCAGTAAGAGGAGGGGGGAGGGAAAAAAAAGAAAAACCCTGCTAAACAGGTTTTCAGAGAGGTTGTACTATTTTACATTCCAACCAGAAGTGATGAGAATTTGGAATGATCACTATTTTATATTTTAGACATTCTGATGGGTGTATTATGATATCTGATCTGGTTTCCATTTGTATTTCAAAAAAGCTGGTGTGATGGTTTGGATCTGAAATTGTCCCCCAAAGGGCATGTGCTCAAGGCTTGGTCACCAGCTGATGGTGTTCCTGGGAGATGTGGGACCTTGAAGCTAGGTCTAACAGGAGGAAGTGGAGTCACAGGGGCCACGCCCTTGAAAGGGATCTCATGACCTTGGCACTTCCTCTTCTCTCCTGCTTTCTGGCTGCTGTAAGGTGAGGAGCTCTGCTCTATCACAGGCTCCCCACCATGATAACCTGCTTTACCATAGGCCCAAAGAGCACAGCCAACTGACCATGGTTAGTTGAAACATCTGAAACCTTGCACCAAGAGAATTCTTTCCTCCTTAGCAGTTGATTATTTCAGGTATTCTGTCATGGCCTTGGAAAGCTAACACAGCTGGTGATATTTGACATCTTTCAGTGTGCTTACTTGCTATCTGTACTCTTTAATGAAGTATCTCTTCATGTCTTTTGCCTATTTTCCAATTGGATTTTTTAGGTTAATGTTGAGATCTGAGAGATTTTATATTTTCTGGATATGAATTGTCAAATATATGATTTGCAAATATTTTCTTTCAGTCTGTAGCTTGTCTCTTAATCCCCTTAACAAAGGTTCTTGCAGAGCAAAAGTTTTTAATTTTATGATGTTCAAATTCTCCTTTTATGAGACCTACTCCTGGTGTCATGTTTAAGAAATCTTCACCAAACCCTAGTTCCAAAATCTTTTTTATGCTTTCTTCTAGAGGCATTATAGTCTTACATTTTATATTTAAATGAGGTTTTTGTTGTTGTTGTTTTGTTTTTGTGTAACATGTGAGATTTATGTCAAGATTTTCATTGTTCATAGTTGTTCAACAGCTCCAGTACATTTGTGAAAAGATGACCTTTCCTCCACTGGATGATTCTGTACTTAAAAAAAATTAGTTGGCAAAATGGGGCATTATTGTCCATTTTACACAGATAAAAATGATTATAAGAGTTCACTATGAACTACTGTACACCAACAACTTATATAAACTTGATGATGTAGAAAATTCCTGGAAACACATACTCTACCAAAACTGACTCAAGAAGATATAGAAAATCTGAATAGACCTATAATTAGTAAGAAGGTGGTATAAGTAATTAAAAACTCTTAACCATGTAAGTCCCAGGGCTGGACAGTTTCTACCATCTAGTAGTGAATTCTACTAAAGAATAATGAATACCAGTTTTTCTCAAACTCTTCCAAAATGAAGAGGAAGGAATACTTCCTAACTTATTACATAAGGACAGCATTAACCTGATAACAAAACAAGACAAAGAAACTACAAGAAAGCTACAGACCATGACTAGATCTTATGCATATAGGTGCAAAAATCCTCAGCAGAATACTAACAAATCAAATTCAACAACATCTTAAAAGGATTATGTATTATAGAATGCAAGGATGGTTCAACATATGGAAATGAATCATTATGATGCACCACATTACTAAACTGAAGAAAAAAATACATGATTATCTCAACTTATGCAGAAAGAGTATACACAAAATTCAACATCTTTTCACAATAAAAATACTCAATAAATGAGACTAGAAGGGAAGATCTTAACATAATAAAGCACATTTACAAAAAACTCACACCCAACTTAATACTCAATAATGGGACATCAAAATCTTTTGCTCGAAGATTGGGAAAAAAACAAGGATGCCCTCTGTCTCCACTTCTCTTTAACATAGTAATGGAATTCCTGGTGAGAGCAAACAGGCAAGGAGAGATAAGGGCATCCAAATTGGAGATGAAATAAATTACCTGCATTTTGATATGGCATGTTTTTATATACAGACAATTTTCAAGATTCTATGTTAAAAACTGTTAGAGCTAACAAATAAATTTAGCAAAGGAGCAAGGTATAAGCCAACATGCAAAAATCAGTTTTATTTGAGTAAATTTGCAATGAACATTATGAAAAGGAAATTAAAAAAAAATTATTACAATAGCATCAACAAGAATAAAATACTTAGGAACAAATTTAAATAAGGAAGCAAAAGATGTGTACCCTGAAAACTACAAAATATTGCTGAAAGAAATGAAAGAAAATCTTAAGTCAAAAAACAATGCTGGGGTTGGTGGCACATGCCTGTAATTGCAGCCCTCTGGGAGGTGAGGCCGGAGGATTGGAAATTCAAGTACAGCCTGGGCAACTTATTGACTTAGTGAGACTCTGTCTCAAAATAAAAATAAAAAAGGGGTGGAGATGCAGCTCAGTGTGAAGGTCCTGGGTTCAAGCCTGAATGTGCATGGACACATGCGTGCACGCACACACACACACACACACACACACCCCAAATGAAACAGACAAAAAAGTGAAAAAGCATTTTATACTGATGGGTTGAAAGACAAGATTTTTAAGATGGTGATACTAATCATAAACAGTCTACAGATTTAATGCATTCCTATCAAAATCTCTATGG